GATTCCAATATTGAATTTCGGCTTTTATATTTGTTAGAGTTTCATAATATCAAATTTATTTTAAATAAAATTATATAAAAATACAATAATTTCAAAATAAATATCAAATTATCGATATTCTATAAATTGAATTGATTATAATTATTTCAAATCGTATTCGTTTTGAATATAATTTTATATACAGATTATCTCATAAGATATAATGAATTGACCGAAATTCCACAAAATTATATAAAGAAATAAGCTAGTAGTACGTATTTTGATTTTCGCCTATGCGTCTTTTAAAACCCCGCCGAGTAGTATCGGCGCACATACCCATATATTTCCATTTAGCCTATGTATATGCTTACTGCATGCTGCATGTACCCCGGATTATATATCATATATAAGCATCATATAAGCATGCATCAATCTATTCATCCGTCTTCAATAACCCTGATTGATTGAAAACAACGTTAGGTAGTATCTAGGGTTTCGGTATTGAGGGCCGTGGGAGTGGAACTATCTGCTTATGGACGGAATTATTTGGGAGAGGGGGATCTATATTACAATTCTGCTTACTATTTATGGTGTAACTGAGACTTTTGGGCCCGAGGGGTGTTTGTTGGTGGGGTGGAGAGAGGGAGGAAGGGAGGAATAGAGGGATGGCTAGATGGTAGAATAGATGTATGGTCCGGGGGTTGTATGTATGGTACATGTATAATATTTTTGACATGTGATTATAATAGTAGAAGGAACTGGAAAAGCTGAAGGGTGGAAGAGATAGAGAGATAGAGTGAAAGGTAGTTTATGTATGTATGTATGTACACTAGAGGAGGGAAATGTGGAGTAGGGGGAGAAGGGGGCTATATGGATGAAAGGGTAGATACTTTAATCTCGTGCTTTGTTGCTTAGGTTTTGAAGGAGGTGGTATAGGATGAGTAATAGGTGTATGGAAATATGCTACTAGAGATATATATCAAGGTATCCAATAATTAGTCCAGACTATATTTCAGATTATACATAGTCTAATAAAAGAGATTATAACATTTAATCTCTGAAAACAATTGAATCATTCTAAGCAATTCATTATTTCTAATATATTTAATAATTAATATGATTTCAATATTTCAAATCAAAATAATGTTTGAGATATATTCAGAAATTATTTTATTATTAGACTAAAGTCTAGTTTATTGAATACTCTAAGTAATATATCTATACTATATCTATATATCCTGAACACTAGCAGTGGACTAGTAGTATGTGTAGATATGAGTATAAATGAAATAGAGAAAGTGAAAAATACTTTATATTGCTGAAGTATTAATATTCGTATAGCAATGAAGATAGATACATGAATAGATATATGAATATCGTTCGTTCCTAGATATATAGTAAGACTAATTTATAAATCCTTCTTATAGAAAATTAGTATATTGCATTATATATCTTTCTAATTTCCAATTAATCTAGACTTAGAAAATCTCATAAAATTTCCATATACCTGACTAGTACTAGACTGCTATAGAGTATATAAATAATAAAAGATTATTTAGTAAGATTATTTTTATTTTATTAAAAAGGAGTATAATCGAATTCTTAAATTATATATATATATTATATTATACTCGAGTAATATATAAAAGCTATTGATTTGATTGTATTGATTAGAGATAATCATATTTTACTTTATTTTACTTTTTTCACTTTATTTCTCAATATCTACACTTAATATATACTCCGCGTGATATCAAATATCTGGTATCCGTGTGATATGAGTATATACTCGAGTATCAATATCGATTAAGGGATATATACATACTATAATTATTCATTGCTTTCCCTCCTCCCCTTCCCCTTCCCTCTTCTCTTTCTCCTACCCCCTATCCTCAAGCACCTCAAGCACCACAAAACCTTCAAGAATCAAAATCATATTTCACATACCCTACACTCTGTACTCGCCACCGAACACCAAAGCTAGTTTATTCATCTCTAGATTCTCCACCATATATAACCATATGACTTGAACTTACAACAATACAATACCAGAAAATCTACCAATCTTTCTCTATATCTCTCTCTATATGTCTTATTCTCTCACTGGCACCTTTTCTTCCATCCTCCCTCCAAGCATCTCATCTCCCAAAACCCATCTCCCAACCGATCCCCATCCCCCATACCGCAAATCACTACTTATATTCATCCATCACAAGCACCAGCAAATCCCAAATCCTCAAATCCTCATACCCTTAAATCCTCAAACTCCCAAACCCCCAACCTCAATCTCCTCATATTCATATTCACATTCATATCTATATCTATATGCAGAACCTCAATATACAATACTGTACAATATATCACTTGTAATAAATTAGAAAATCAATGAATCAGGAAATCATTACTATACCTAATTACTACTACTAGTACTTGAATAGAGAGAATCAATCAATCAATCAATCAATGCTCGAATATAAATATGTATCACAGAATACATCGGTATATGATTTTGAAATTAATATCAAAATCGATATCAAAATCGATATCAAAATCGAACCCAAAATTGAACCCAAAATTGAAATCGATACCAAGATCGATACCAAAATCTTCATTCATTTGATTCATTCATTGATATATTTCTCCCCTTACTCACTCACTCTATTACAGCAAATAAAAAGACAAACAAGAAGATAAACACAGATACAAAAACAAATATCATAAATCAATATCATATAGACTAAATCACCTTGAAAAATTACTCTAAACCATTACTCCAAACCCTTAAACCCTCACTCCTCTCTCAATCCCTCTTGGTTATTGGTCCATCCCATCCAATATAACCAACCAACCAACCTCAATCTCAGTCTCTCAGAATGGCTCCGAACTCCAAACTCCAAACTCCAAAGCCCTCCCCAATACCCATAAGCCTCAAAGCCATAAAGCCATAACACAACCTTGATAGATATCTAATCGAATTAAAACAAAAATCCAACCTAATTTACAAGGAAGACAAAAGTGGCGTGACTCCCATACCCCCTCCCATTTCACTTACTTCACTCACTTTCCCCTATAATTCCCTCCTTTTCAATCTCCGGTATCGGTATCTGTATCATTTGCATACAAGCAGAGGTTTCAATTGGTGTGATTTCGTTTTATTGTGAATTTCTGATTGATAGATAATTGATTGGCTTGGAAAGATATCATCAAAGGTGAGCTAAGCCGAGGCTGAGGCGAAAGGTGAAGGAAAGTATTGAGGATGATGTGATGTGTCATTGTTATTCACTCTTGTTTTTAAACTCCTGATTTGAGCGGTGAGGTTATGTTATTGGGGTTATTAGTGCTTTCCTTTCCTTTTGTTAATAGTGAGAGAGTGGATTTCGTTCATTTCACCATTAAAGGTTGTAATGGAGTGAAAGTGGAAGTGAAAGGTAAGAAAGTAAGTGAATGTCAGGGTTGATATCCAACTTTGATCCATGATTGAATGAATGGAGAAGAATGAAATCCTTGAAACTATAATATTGTGATGACAAACTTCCATCCTTTAGTTATCACAGAGCTAAATTGCACTGGCAGCTTGTAGTTGCTGAATTGTTGACTGAATTATCAGGACCACTTGAAGCCTCAATGGAAAGAGTACATTTGTACATCTGTGTAACTGTGCATCCCTAGCTTCTCTTGATCTTCTGGATGAGAGTGTTGATGCGAATCACTTGTTTGGGTCCAAGATAATCAAGTATGAGTGTGTGATGATGATGAATAATCAATTGCTCAAGCGATACTCATCCATGAACATAGATATCGAGGAGCCATCTCTGCCCTATGATGTGTGAAACTTCACAAGCATCTGAAACACTGTACTCTGTTTACTTGTGGGAATCAAGGTTCATGAAGTGGTGTGAGTCTGCTCTGGCACATGATTGATGCCGGTTCATTGCAGGTGTCTGCAAACTGGTTGAAGAGCCCGATAGACGGCTGGCTACAGGTACTACATGGAGGGGTAGTGTATAATCAGGTACATCCAGTTGTACAGAATGATGGGCGATCATCGGAGGTTTGAGAAACAAATGTTATATGTGAGGGCAGACGTTTGTGTGAGCCCTATTATGGATGTACAAACACAAGATGGGTTCGTTTGATCTGTAGTGGATTTTCTGCTTTTGGATTTTGCAGGTTATCAGCATGGCCATAAAGAGGTCGGCTGCTGTTGTGACAGCTGACAAAATGAAGGGGGACAAGATTGAAACCAAAAAATTTGCTAGATGGAAAGCGAAAAATGAAACGGCATCTTCGAGGAAGCACAGTACTGAAACAATTCTTGATTAAAAGCAGCTGTTTACTCGGTGACCTCCGAAGTAAAGTTATCCTCGGAAGATTGTTTGCATATTGAATAACACAACGTCCGTTCCGTTCCATGGAAGACTCGAGACTAAAATGCAGATTATGCATAAATTGGTTTTGTACAGTATACGGTGCAAGTCGAAATGGTTGATGCGAACAAGAGGGGCGACGATACATTTATCAATCTCGGAAAAGATTTTGAGCCAACCATGATAGCCTTTAAAGCCACATATCTGATCTGGTAGGTTCGATGATGGACTAAATGTGAGATGTCAAACTGCCATGAGACAGCGGCAGAAGGAAACAATTGATAGGCAGCTTCGACGGGATGAAAACTTTAAGCAAATGGATAGAAAGCTGATGAAGCAAGAAAGGACGGGTTGGAAGAATGATTCAAGTATACGGCAAACATATAAAGTAATTTTAGAGAAGTTGTATAGAAGGAGCGGTGGAAGCTGGACGTTGAGGTTAGGTATGGGTTAATTATGGTTATTGTACTTGTAAAATGGAAGCTGCAGATCTATTTTGCCAAGTCTCCAGGGTTCTTTTAACGATTAGTAAAATATGTATCATTTCATTTATTGGTTCTAGCTATATTTCCTCATATTTCCTCGCTCTTCAATTGCAGCAACTTACCTCCGTAGACAACCTACCTTACCTGTCTTGAGACATCTCTTACCCAAATGAGTGATTATTGAAAATCAAGAGTAGTAGTCCGAGCTACAAACCCAGGTCGGCAGGGGGGGTTATGTATGGTATGGTATGGGGCTGGTGGAGAAGATCCGCGAGGTAAGGGACACAAATCCAAAAGAGTATGCAGTTCTCCAGCCTCACTATGTCAGTGACAGCTCCCCTTTACGAATGATAGCTTCTCGCTGTCTTTCCTTAAGTATATATAGTACTTTCAATGCTTGAATAACGGGAAGAGGGAAGAGGGAAACCTTAGGGAAGAAAAAGAAAAGAACAGAAAAAGAAAACAATACAGTAATTGATCGGAAGGACGGAAGGACGGAAGGACATGAGAATTCTAGATTTTGCATTTCGAGGCGATTAATTGATTCTTGAGATCTGAGGTGTCTAGATACTACCTTACTACCTACCTACTTACCTAGGTACCTACTTACTGATCTACCAACTCGGTATTGTTATTGGTATTGCCGCACCCACCGACTTCTGATGAAGAAAGAAGTCACGACAAAATGGCCTCCTTCCTTCTATCGACCACCATAATAATCGCAAAGTAAACAAAAACCAGTTCTCTCACAACCAATACAATACTATCTACTACCTACTACCTACTACCTACTACTTACCTAGGTATATTCGGCGGTATTCATGAAATACAGAAAGAAAGAAGTCTTACTTACTTGCTCAATTCTTGTTATCGTATACTTGAGTAGCTCTTGTGCTCGTTACTTCTTCCAATTCCCCCCTTCATCAACTTTCATCAACGTCCATTCATATCCGGACATCTAGGTTTTACATTCACATTCATTTCGATACTCAAGAATCCCAACCCAATCATCAAAAGAACTTCCTTCTGTACTCGATACTTGGACGTTCATCGAACTTTTTCATAAAATTCATTCCCTTCAAAAACACTTGTGTGTACTGTACCATCTTGTATGCACAACATCTTTACAACCCCACGTTACTCAAAATCACCCCTCAAAGGTCTTTTCACATTACACTGCTGGTACTAAATACATTATGCAGCAGTAAATAGCGGCCGACAACTCTCAAAAGACTTGGTAGCACTGCAGTCCGAGTCTCGAGTTGGGAAATAAACGGTGTCACACCAGATCTAACTCCTCGAACTTCCAAAAGAGCGCCATCTTGTTCTATTTTGCTTATTCCAGGATACAGATTACGGACCTGCATTTTCCATGCACTCAAGTTAGCAAAAATTGGAACAGGGTCTGATCGACAATTTCACCAAAAATCCATCTCTGGTCTGGTCTGGTCTGGCCTGGTCTGGATAGTCTGGATAGTCTGGATATTCGAATCATCACGATTCCTCATCAGCGACCATTTGGGATTACAGTAGTATCTTGCGATTCCAGAAATCGGTACTCGAGAGATATCGGTTCTTTATTTCCTTACCAGTAGTTGTGTGTGCTTGGTGGTTGGTTTGACTTGTGGTTGGAGAAATTTGGTGCATCTGGGAACTCTTTTATTTCAAAAGCAACTGGGGCGAGGCTCGGAGATCTTCGAACTTGAAACCTCAGCACTATCAACTGGATCAATTGGATGCTTCAATGAATATTGAATCCATTCAATAACCAATCTTTCACAAGCTCGGCCTCAAAGATTATCCGAGCCCGAGCCATTCCCCTACTCTTCAGACGAGACGAGATAACCACCATAGCAACCTTGGTTGATTATTTTCTTCAACTTGGAGACATTAGAACCAAATTCCAAGGAACTCTTTCTCAAAAACTTGTTGATAATATCATTGTTGAGAAGTAAAGTCTACTCAGGGTAAGCAGTCTTTGAAGTGCTCGTATCTCCTTGTTATACACTATGTTATTTATTATTCTGCTGCCCTAGTTACCATTCTCTTCATGATTTTTCCAGACAATAGTGTGCTTAGTACTTCTCCTGTCTACCTTTGGAGCAAATCATCATATTACAACACGTTCAAACCTATTACTAACAGAAACACAGGAAACTTGTCCCTTGGTTTGACCATTGTAGTTCACTCATTCCTTCCAATCAGTCCTTATTCAGAGCCACTCCCCATTGAGAAACCAGTTATCATCCAAGCAAAGTCTTTCAGAACCAGGTAAGCCCCTTTGCCGAATCTTCCAGCAAGATCATTTCAAAATTCACTTTTCGTCCCCGCTATCGGCATTACCAGGCTATCTCCTGCTCTCTTGATACTTCTCAATTTTACACTCCGATCTTCCTCTTCCATCCACACAACCCTTCTACAACTTTTTAGAATGGACTATTAATTTGAACAAGCCTTTAGTAACAGTTTGAAATCATATCATAACTTCATACAAAAAACGATATTGTATCATAAATTTGTACAAAGTTGTCACAGCTGTTGGAGGACTGGTCGGGATCGCGTCTTATTCTCAGCTGGTCAAACGGTCGGTCGCACTTGATTCCTGTTGAAGTATTGTTTCCATCAACTAATACACATCAATTAGGAGGAGCAACTGATACTATCTGTGATTTCTTAATCCTGTAGACCGACTACAATCCACCACCATCAACAAAGCCAAGCTTTTAACAACTCTTTGCAATTCTTTTTTAAACTCTTACTAAGAGTTCACTGCAAAGATCGACTGTAAGTTTTCGTACCATTAGCCTACCCATTCTTTCTTTGGTACATGCAACAGGTGTGTTGTCACTGAGCTGAACAGCTAACACTTGTAGGTTGATTATCTCACTCAAAGCAAAAGTTAGATAATAATTGTCAAGATGTTGGGAGTGGGTCCTATGAACTGTAAGTCTATCCCTTTATTATATGATGTACATATGCTTTCTTTCTTGTTTGCTATACACCTGTACTCCGTCTCATGCCACAATGTTTCTTTGGTGGGGTGATACAATTATGTCTCTCTCTCCCGGTTATGCTCTCCCCTTTACGATTCCGATCATCATCCCTATCACAATCTTCACTATAACCCTATCAATATGTCCTCTATCAAATTCACCTAATCACACTTTCCTTTCTTCAACTTTCTTTCTGAAATTTCTTCTCTAAAGATGTTCTGAATTCTGATTTGAACAGACCAGGGAACACCCAAGGTAAAAAAGCCCAAAGCTCATGCAAGAGGTGCGACAATACCAGGACCTTCCACACCAGGTTCCATCCAAGCTCCATTGACACCAGGTTCATCTTCAACTGGTTTTGGTGGATTCACCAATGCTCAGGTTCAACAATTTCCACAAACACCCCAACTGCCATCAACCCCATCACTGCAAACAACAGGTTCATTCGACAGCAGCAATTTTCATACGGTTCTCAGTGATGCATCGACAGGTACGAAGAAGTCTGGTGGCTTCTTTCGTCTTTTTAAGAAAGATTCAAGGTCGGACGGCACAAGAAGTAAGGAAGATTTACCAAGTCGTGGCAAAACACTCTATGGTCGAAGTGAAGAGCTTACAGTTGAACCAGAGTCATTTGATCCTGTAGAGGAAATGGGTACTTTGCCACCTCCAGACTACATTCGGCCTATACCAGGACAAAAGCTTATTCCTCGAAGAGAGCCTAATGCATTGTCTAGAACAACATCGAGTCCACTTGGAGGAATGACGCAGATCGGAAGAGCTCGAGCTCGGGCTGCAGCCAGGTTGAATGAATCAATTACTGAGGTTTCAGAGTCTGAATGGCAAACCACTACCGATGGCGATGAGGAGCAATCGGCACTCGCTAATTCGTCATCATTTTACAATGAAACCTCCAATAGTTTCAATGACATTATTGACCTCGAAGAGCAACATCAGTTCATTGTTTTAGCATCAGCACCTGATGGTGATGATTCTGCTATTGCTGAATGGACCAACTACATCAGATGTTATTCTGGAGTAAGTATTATTTTGTTTGACTTGCGTCAATGATGATCAATTCTCCACAGCTGGTTTGGATTGAGCTGACATATTTCTAGGGCTCTTTCAACATCTCGAATCCTCCTGCTCCACCTCCGCGGCGTATGGATTTCACTTACCTGCCAGCAATGTACCCACATGATGAAGCGACCAGAATTACAAAGCACTATTCCATCGATGTACCATGGCCTGCAGAGTTGAGTGCAAAACTTCTTGCTTTGATGGACGCAGCAGCAAAGCGATTCCGCATCAATTCTGCTTCACTCAGTATCTTTGATGAACGCTTTGAGAAATTTAGAATTGATGTGGGCTACAATATTGGTGACATCGAGCGCACAACAAGCATAGCAGCCCATGCACTTTATTCGGAAGAAGTTCTCGTCATCTTGGACACACATCAGGTTTGCTTTTCTATGTGCTCTTCTTCAAACTTTATGCCATGCTAACAATGATATAGGATTGGCGTTTCGCGGGAAATCCTTGGGTCACTGGCTCCCCCTATACTCGGTTCTTTGCTGGAGCACCTTTGATCTCAGATGCCGGAGGAATCATTGGTGTTTTTGCCATTTTCAGCAAGCAGCCTAGATCTGAATTCCTTCGAGGTGATCGGCGAGAGCTGGCCGAATTTGCAGCCTTGATGGCAAAGGATATGTGTTTGCATGGTGAACATATGTCCGACCCTGATCTGCGTCATTCCGTTGTCAGATCGAAGCGAGATACAAGAACCAATTTGGTTCCGCATCCGCTTCATTTTCAAAAGCAGTTGTCACCTTTGGTCACCCAGCCAGCTTTCTTCCCCATGGAATTCAACTTTCAGAAACATTCATCACCTTTGACCAAGCAATCGCAGTTCTTTACTGACGGTCAAAGCGAGGATGTTTTCGTGAACTCTCCCGAGACTTCCATGTCTATGTCTCATGACTCATCGGCTCGTGATTCTGACATTTTATACATGGCCGCCCCACCACGCAGTAGAGGCTTCTCTGCCGAGTCTGTTTTTCCTAATCACAATTCGCCAGAGGCCTTTCACCAATATCTGACCCCAACCCAGCCTCAAGGTTCCGACAATCGTCCATATTCTGCAAGTGATTTGACCTCGGTGGATATGCCACAGAACAACACTCCAAATGACTCGTACTATTCTGGACGGAATTCTGATTATTATCAATTCGATCTGGATGGACCAGCTACCCCAAAACAGCCAAGATTTGTTTTCCCGAATTCAATTTATCGCAGTCTTGGTCCATCGACCAGTGGAATCTCGCTGAACAACAGTTTTGGGCGACTGTATATGGAAGGTGATAGCATGCTAGGAAATAGCTTTCATCAGGAGCTCCTGGAACCAGAAGTTACAACACCCAGTACATCACTTACGAGAGCCTTCTCAACAATGAGTTCGACTTCAATTGGTACTTCTTTTTCCAGCAGGATTGGTGGACCCAACAATGATGATGATGCAGAAAATCCATCTGGTAATGCTCCATCCAATGTTGCTCAGTCAGTTGCTGCAGAAGCAAACTTCTCGTGTTCATTCAGTGGCAAGAGATATGGTTTCGATCAAGTTTATGCTGCCAAAGTCGATTGCCCATACCCTGGTATGTCGGACCAGGAACTTTTGGGACCAAATGGTCTCACTTTGAAAATCTTGGCATCTTATGGTCTTCCTTATGACTATGAGTCTGAACTTAACCAGGAAACTTACTTGAAGGAAGCATTCTTGAAGGCCTTGCGTACCAATGAGTTTTGCTATACCTGGAATCAAGAAGAAGGACCAAGACTTCATGAACAGGGTGCTTTGGGCTTTGGAGTTCTAATGCCACTTTCCCCTTTGGCCATTGCACTTTCTCCAGACAAGGACCAAAGCAGATCTCGTGATCATGGCATTGTCTATGCTATGTTCAACAGAGCAACCTTTGACTCGAACAAGAACCTTCAACCACCTGTCATGGACCTACATGGATATATGTGTGCAGCTCAGGCGATGACAATACTTCTCTTCAACCTTGAGATTCCGAAGGATGATGAAACTCTGTTGTCAGCTACAAAGTCTAGGGCACCAAGAGGACGCACACCAACAATCATTGGCGCCACAGAGGTAGGCCAGATCTACTACAGTAGACGTTCTACTTCAGGCTACAGCAGAAACTCTTCTTTCTGATTTGGTTCCTTGCTTGGAAATCACTTCTAGCATTGTCAGCCCCTTCGAAGAGGGCCTTCCATCTCGTGTTCATATCGATCAACTTCTTCTTGATTGGTCTTTATGCGTTCAGATTGCATTGGCCATTCCTCCCCAACAATAGTAAGATTGGTTTCTACTCACATTGATTCCCTTCTCACCCCCCATTGTACGATTACAAAAACTACTCACTTTTCGACCTCACTAATATTCAGATGAGCACCATGCATACAGCTATCGCAGTATGTAAGCTCTCTCACCGATTTTCCTTTGTTCAAAAAGCTACTGTTAGATAACGAAAAGTTACAATGTTTGCTGTTTATATGGAGAGGGAGGTAGTTCTGCAGAAGGATGGTGAACAGATGATTGGCCTGGCAAACGAATCAAATGTTCTACACCTTCAGCAACTAGGAAATAAAAGTTGACACGACTGGGGATGAAGAATGAATGGCCGCGATGCGAAACAAAACTGGTGTAGTGGGAATGGAAAGGATGGATGGAATCCATATACGGTACTGCACACTTTTATGCAAATAATGTGATGTGATTGCAATGATACGTATGGTCGATATGGATAAGATACTGGAGGGAGGAGATACTGGGGAGCAGCTAGTAGTTGGTAGTTACAAAAAGCCTTTGAACATGATTGGCAATGATACCTGTAGATAGTTCCAGATTTGCTAACTGATTAATTCCCTTTACTTTTGATTGCGTGACTGACCCGACTAACTTGCTTCTTTCCCGGGCCTGAATTCCCTTCCTCTTCCAACGCTGCATCTTCTTTTCCCGTTTATTATACTATACTTCATGAAGAATACACATATGATGATACCAAAAATGCTCTAAACAGCTGGAACATCTCAGCTATTTTGAATGTCCCATTTGATTTAAGTGCACCAAAACATATAAATATATAAACTGAAATTGTACATCTATTAGAATTCGGGGATCGATTCTACTCTATATCTTTATTGTTCTATAGTAGACATCCAGCCATACCATGCGATCCCTATCCGTGACCATTGCAGCAACACCGCTTCTTCAGTAGCAGCAGTGTCGGCGAGCTTCTAGACCATCTCATGGTTGTATATTTTTAGTATAGTATAGTATACTATTCTATTCTATACTATACTGCATATATGATTCTTTCTTATTTAGCAAAGTCAGAAAAATAACTCAAAGAAAGTCCCATGTTGGGAATAGACAACGCACATGAGTCAACGACCGTGACATAATCTGCCCTGACATATATACATACATACATACCTCATTCCACCTTTCCCCTGAATAAACCGTTACGTGCTTATCCACAGACCGCCTCAATAATCAACATGCATGCATAAACATCGACTATTGAGCCGCTCACTAAATGGACACAACGCAGGTCCCGACTCTAGCCTAGACCCCTAATCTGGATTCCAGCCCTTCCAGTCTAGGCCCTCACTCCTCACCCCTCATTCCCATCCCCTGCTCAACCCACCCATCCATTTATGTCAGCGATCCGGCCCGCTGCGGGTACCTATTGACCACTACCCTAGATACAACTTACTAGCTTAGTACCGTACACCGCCCTATGTCCATCTTTTTTGATTCCCCTACCTACTTACTAACCACCCCAGGCAGAAGTTTACAAGTATATACATACATACTAGTATATGTATGAATATAAGCATAAACTTCGACCCTTGGGCCGCTCACCACGTGGATACCACGCAGGTCCCGACACCACCCCTCCCAAGCCAACTCACCCCTCATCCCTCCCCCCATCCCATCCCATCCCATTCCCATCCTCAACCTCCCCTACCCGCAGAAGCCATACCACAGTAAATCCCCACCCCTATCCCCCTACTTAATCCTACTCAAACCTAACCTACCCCCATTTCGAAAGGCAATTCTATCCACGATCCAGCCCGCCAGGGCTACCTATTGACCACCCTACCTACAACCCCCTACAACCCACCATAAGCACACGTAAAAAAGCTTACTGAGTATACCTACACACGACGATACAAATAGAAGTCATTATAATATGATGATACTGTACTCGGGCCCTACCCGCTGACCCGCTCCGCATACATACCCTTACCCTAAATAGATAGATACCCTAGATACCCTACTGTGTAGAGGAGGTTGAAAGTGCAAGTAATGTTATATAAGACCAATTTAAGGTTTTACATAACTTGACCACTTCGACTATTCTAGTAAAATCATCCAGATATTCAGCTTTCCCCGGCCCCTCTTTTTTTTGACATTTTTGATGATTTCAATAGAAAGAAGCCTTGAGTTGTGAGAAGTCAAATAATAGATCCTAAAGAACTACTATTGAGTATAGTAGTCAGGTCAGCTGAAAAGAATGTATAGAGAATTCCTTTTACTTTCATCAATCTTTCTCCTTTCTCCTTTCTTCTTTCTCTCGAATAGCTCTAAATTTAACATTCCAACAACTACACAACTATATACATGAATAATTAGAACCAACTAGAAATAAGTTTCTAGTCTTAAATCAATAATATAAACAAACCTACAGCAATATGATCTCACACCAGCAGATCCCATCATACTAAATTGGTAGCAGTATGCTGCATTCATGAGACCTACAATACCTATACCTACATTTATATATCCCTCCTTCACCAACGATACTATCAACATAATAAACAGCATTAAAGAAAGACCTTGAAATGAATCCACCCCCATACTCGTCACATTACTGATCATTGCCGGCCTCGATACATCACATGGTTTCAATGACTGTAACGATTTCGACATCTGTGATGATTTCAATGTCTGTAATGATTTTAGCAGCTGTGACGACTTCAAGAATGTAATGACTTCAATGATTGGAATGATCTTGATGATTGGAATGAGCTGAAATGACTAGCGTGTATACCCTCCAGAGGTTATATGATTTTTGATCACTAAATCGTATTAGATAGATAAAGATTTTGATCACATTTTAGGCTTTTTTAGATATCAAACCTTTAATATTTAATATAATTTCATAAATACTATATAATTTTAAAACTCTACTGATTTTTTTTAGAATATATTTTTCTTTTTCTTTTTAAAATACTATATATATTTATTATAATATTATTATAAGAGAATTATTAGAGAACTCTCTTATAGTCTAGATATATATAGACTCTAGATAGAGAAATACTATAATAAAAAGAGTATCTATTTATTAATTGAATTATTAATTTTGTTACTCTTATTCGATTTGAAACTTATAGTATAATAAATATTATAATTTTCTGAATATTAATTCTAAAGATATCTATATCGAGTATATAATCGTGATCTTATATCTAGTTATTTAGAGATTCTATAAATAAGATAGAGACCTCGTTTAATAATAGTATTATTAGATATCTAGATTGTATTTGTTATTAAATAAATCGTAATTGAAGCTATTTAGAGATTCTATAAATAAGATAGAGACTCTTTTTAATAATATTATTACTAGATTATATTTATTATTAAATAAATCGTATCTGAAATATATAATTTGATTATAAAATTCATTAATTATTTTCTATTCGAAAATCTTCAACTTGAAAACTCCATTTAGTAAAAATTAGATTTCTATTATATTTTATATCAATATAAAATCAAGTTTAATTAGATTCTAATATAAATATATTATATATAATTCAAAGAAATTTTGAGTTTTTAAAAATCAGTTTTGAAAATTATATAATATATATTCTATAGTAATATTAATAATATTAATTATTTATTATATAGATTTAAAGATTTTAAAATTTTATAAAAAAAAATCTTTTATTATCAATCTGACCTCAGCTTTTCAGAATACTTTTTAGATTCTTTATAATTATAATAATTAGAAAGTTATTATATTATATAGATTTTAATTACACTATCTACTAGTATACGTTATTTATAAGTTGACCAACTAGACTCTCTCCGAGGACCTCGGTTGATTAGCCAATTAACCAAGGTCTTCGGAGAGGGTTATATGCATAATGCTAGACTAGAAATGACAATTTTGGCGCGTCTAGTACTCTGTCTACATATTAATGCAGGGTCAAGGATATATCATATTGGGTATTGCTAAAATAGTTTCATCATATGGTCGCATCACATCAAATATATGTATGGACATGTTGTTTACAGTTTTGATTCTTCTCTTAATCAAATCTTCCGCTTGTCATTCTTCATCTATCCGACCAACCACATCACCATACTAATTTTTCTTTTCCTTTTACTGCGTTCAAAATACAGCTTCCCTCCCGCCCACATACATGCCAAGGGAAAAAACAAAAGCGAGGAAATGACCATGGTTTTTTATTTTAGCTATTGATTTAGACGAAGCTCTTGGTGAAAGAGACAACAATGTCCTTCAATTTAGCCTCAAGGTCCTTGCTGAGAGCACCCTCTTTATCGATCGTTGCCAATAAGTCTGACTCATTGGTCCTGAGATGTGAGATGAAGTCAGCCTCCCATTGGAGAACCTTGCTGACTGGTACAGTGTCAAGGTGACCATTAACACCGGCGTAAATGAGAGGAACCATTTCGTTAACAGCCATGGGAGAGTATTGCTTTTGCTTAAGGAGCTCAGTCAACTGTAGAAGATCATTTGTTAGCTTGTGTAATTTGTATAAACTTGTGGATGTATTAAAAACTTACTCTTTCACCACGATTGAGAATTTGCTTGGTAGCAGCATCCAAATCGGAACCGAATTGTGCGAAAGCAGCGACTTCACGGTATTGAGCCAAGAAAAGCTTCAAGGAACCAGCGACTTGCTTCATGGCCTTAAGTTGGGCAGCAGATCCGACACGAGACACGGAAAGACCAACGTTAATCGCTGGACGAATACCCTTGTAGAAAAGCTCGGCCTCCAAGAAAATCTGTCCATCAGTAATCGAAATAACGTTGGTTGGGATATAAGCAGACACATCACCACCTTGGGTCTCAATGATTGGAAGAGCAGTCAAAGATCCACCACCGTGTCTTTCGTGCATTTTAGCAGCACGTTCGAGGAGACGGGAATGTAACTAGATGACGTTAGCTTATCATGGATGGTATTTAGTGGGGCCATTTAAAATGGGGCCAAAATACGTAGAAAACATCACCCGGGTATGCTTCACGTCCAGGAGGACGACGGAGAAGGAGAGACATTTGACGATATGCGACGGCTTGCTTGGTAAGATCGTCGAATACGATAAGAGCGTGCTTCCCATTATCTCTGAAGTATTCTCCCATGGATGTTGCTGTGAAAGGTGCGATATATTGAAGAGGAGCGGCCTCGGAAGCGGTGGCTGCCACGACGATGGAGTACTTCATGGCGTCATTCTCTTCGAGAGTCTTGACCAATTGGGCAACAGTAGATCTCTTTTGACCAATGGCAACGTAGACACAGTAGAGCTTCTTGCTCTCATCGGTTCCCTCGTTCCAACGCTTTTGGTTAAGCATGGCATCAAGGGCAACAGCAGTCTTTCCGGTTTGACGATCACCAATGATCAACTCACGTTGACCACGTCCAATGGGCACCATTGCGTCGACAGACTTAAGACCAGTCTGTACTGGCTCGTGTACGGATCGACGGGGAAGAATACCAGGGGCCTTGAGTTGCGCACGGCGCTTCTCGGTGGTCTTGATTGGTCCCTTGCCATCAATTGGGTTTCCGAGAGCATCAACAACACGGCCGAGTAACTCCATTCCAACTGGAACTTCGACCTGTGCTTCATGTTAGTATTCTGAAACGTATATTCAAGTTGGCCAACTAACAATCTCTCCGGTACGCTTGACGGTCTCACCCTCCTTGACCAAACGATCAGAACCGAAAAGCACAACACCGACTTGGCCAGCTTCCAAGTTCATGCACATGCCCTTGACACCGGATGCGAACCTTTTTCTCCATCAGTACCCCGGAAATTGTTTGTCGAATTTCAGAAACTTACTCGACAAGTTCCTCGGCTTGGACATTGCTCATACCATGGACACGAGCGATACCGTCACTGTCGTAACAAAAGTCAGTACACCGCTCCAAGTAATCCTGTAATTCTCATCCATATATCGAAATATCCACATCGACGTAACATGACTGCAGCATTCTAGACCCGAGTAAAAGATTATTGTTGAGTAACGTACCCAACAGACAGAACACGTCCAGTCTCGGCAAGAGCGGACTCTTCTTGAACGCCTCTAATTCTTTGTTCAAGAATGGAGGAAACTTCGGTGGGGGAGGCCTTAGCATCAGATGCGTAGCTTCGGACTGATTTTGATGCTGCGTTGAAAGTTGCTGGAGTGGCAGTTCGCTATGCATGCAGAAAACGTTTGGTTAGCCGAAGTCCGAAAAATCCTCGTCAACAAGCTATTGGAGCTTCTCGAAGCTCGAAAGTATCGACACCATGACTTCCCAACGTCAATTGACATAATAAACAATATCTAAATGAATAGATGTCGATAGCGGTGAAGTAAAGTAGTGACATGAGAAGTTTGTTGTTGACGTACCGTGGCAATTCTGCCAGAGGCAGAAATTGCACCCACCGTCCGGCTGGACTGCTTGAGAGCGTTTCTGAACATCTTGACCAAGATCCTATGTATAAAGGGGATTAAGGAGAATCAATTGCTACAGGAGTGCAATTGATAGAGAGGAGATTCAAAGTGGTGGAGGGAGGTGAAGTGGGTGGTGGTATTAGGACCTTGCTGGAGGAAAATGGAGATTATACTGAGTACTCTCGAACAACAGGAAAACTAAACTAGCGCGATAAATCACGTGTCGCTATTCTTATTTTGCCCACCAACCCGCGTCGTTTCGGCATCGGAAGAAACCGTAAAGGATAGAACTCATACTTCTGAACAGCAACAAACAAGAACTTCTCACTACCTACTGGTGATATGAAAAGTTCCAGACTCCCCTAAGTCACAAGTACCCATAGTACAAGTATACTTACTACTTGTACTGGTATCTCATCTCATCTCATCTCTTTTCATACTCTTCCTTTTATATATACGTATATATCCATCCATCCATTCTATACATATACATATATGTATATGTATGTATATATGAATAACCCCCTCCTTTTTTTTTTATACATCATGTTTGCAACATCTTCGAGGACCCGAATACTAATATTTTTCTCAATTAAACTTTTGAAAACCACACCTTTTAATGAATCCCTTGAACCCCTAGCAATCGGAAGAATTATCTGGGGTCATCTGATGAAGGGTCTGATAGGTAGCAAGATAGCAAGGATAGAGAAATACCTCCTACTTCCTGCACTACAGCTGCTGTCATCGCACATGTAACTGCTTCGTACAGCTTCCACAAAACGAGGACCAAGCGGGCCATGGCTGTTGCCAAGGTGCAGAATCGGATGAAGATTGCACCCTGGAGAAATTCGAATCTACCTATTACTCCGTATACTTTTTGCTTTCCAACAATATGGTCCATCAAGCCTCAAATTCGAGCTTGTTCGCAGTTTCAATACTTCGGAACTACCTAATTGGGGCCTGCTTGCATGATCTATTTAATCTTTTGAAAGCAGGTACTATGTTTAGTCTGTTATTCATTGGCTCTACATTACAAAGCACATTTATTTTGTCAATTATCCAGGAAAAATGATGAGATAAGATGAATCCTTTCCATGCTGCATATACTGTATGTTGTTATCATTAGTTTATGTTTCTGCTTTAGAGCTTTCCTGTGCTACTCGGGGCTTGCTTAAGTACAAGCATTATGCGAAGCATCATGCGAATACCATGACCCCTCCAAATATTATCGTAAATGTGTTGTCGCAAGGTGGCGCGTTTTTTTCTCTTTCAATATCGCCGATAAACGTTTAGAAGTACATTCAACGTCGAAAATTTAAGTGCTGACGCCTTCAAAATTCTGTCATTAAGTGACATGAGAGACTACCCAATGTAGTAGCACATGCAGCTCTCTTGTCTAAACAGGTGCTGTGCCTCGTCGCTATGCCGCCTCATCCACATAAAGTAATCGGTAAGATTTGGAGGCTTGAAGCCGATGCTTCCTCCGCTGTTCCCAATTGAGGATGGAAGCTTGTTCCTTCTGTTGGTCACTACCATGCAATTGAACGCAATTATATTTCCGAGGGCTAGAACTATTTTAACCATGTTCATCTCGTTACGAGGTGGAATAAAGCACCAGTGCAGTGGCTTTGGCAGGCGGCATTATTGTTTAGTGCAAATGTTGGTATTAAAGTTGAGCAACATCCTCTGAAAATTTTGTTCTGATGGAAGTCATCAATGATCGCCCTTATTTGCGTGCCTCTTATGCAGTTGCAGATGTCGGGACTCTCCTCATTTGCTACCAGGGCATGATTCGTGCCTGCAGAGGTTGTACGGCATTGCGGTTTTAACACACTTCTTTTCTAGAATCACCAATATCGATTTATCCAATCAGAAAGTCCAAATTATTTAACAGACAACATAACACACTGCATCCGGGCTTTACTTCCGTACGCATCACAACTTCCCCGGCCGGAGGCCCAAGCTGCTGGGAAGATATCTTTGCAGATATTGGAAAGTTGAGGCACGAATTTTATATCGACTGACCTCGAAGAGTCTGCTCGACTGTACGACCAACGACATCTCTTGCATCAGTCATATATACGCACATACGAGTACACGCATGCACAGTTCGATAGGCAACACTGTAGTGGGTCCTTAACTCTAGAAATTATCCTATTCTCCTGGGTATTTTACCAATCAAGGGCGTCTCACGTCACATACTTATAAACTGTCCAACGTGCTCCTATTTCGAGCCAATCCTCAAGCTCAATCGGGTCAGCTGGTTGTTCGAGGCTCCGAGCTTAGATATTCTCCTTGGGCAGGTGTATGTGTGGGACACAACATAGAAGTACAGCTTTTCTGGGAGAGAGACCTGCATTTAATATAATTGCCTGCTCCCAACCTTTTGACTCGTCACCTGATCTTGCATCAGTCCATAATTTGATTCACCTTTGTGTGTGGATTATCTTTTGCATCGAGATAACAATTGTCTCGAATTAGAATAATACGAGCTTGTAAGTATTTACCAACTTTGATACGCAGTACAACCTTGAATGGTCTTTGCCTCTCTGTGAATCACCCCAACAGAAACCTTCAGTTGGCTCCATCATTCTTTATAAAAACCACCACTTTGTCCTTGAAATACTGACCAAGTACAGAGCCCAATAAACTTTACGAGCACTTGTTTGGAGATTAATGTTCAAGATGCTTGGAGGATTAGCACGAACCAGAATCGCCCCAGCGGCCAAAAGCTGCCCCTCCTTATTCGCAAAATCAACAAGGGTGAAGAGTGATGCAGTACCTCGGCAATGTCTCCAGAACGCAGTGCGAAACCTGTCCTCGATATCCAAAATACCCCTCATTTCCACACGTCAATTTCGATCAAATGCATCAGGTCGAGCAGCCGTAACAGATATTCCTATGTTCAATGATGGACCTGTTCCAGAGCCATATATACCTCCAACCACTCCTAAAGTACCTGGGTTGCCAGTATACGATGCTGCCATCTCTGACAGGCCCGCGTACTGGCAAAAGATTCCCCGCTGGAAAGATGTCACTGAAGCTGAATTCCTGACAAACAAATTTCATGTAAGTTCTCCAGCCCGATGAGCCACTTCAGGTTTGCAAACGCTGATATATTTCTGCAGACTCGTTATACCATAGCCACCATAATGCAACTAGAAGTTTTCATGTTGGAAACTTTACCCCCTGTCCTTCGAAAACATCCCGATTTCCCTGGCATTGTAACTCGAGAAGACTTCATTAAGGATGTTAAGGAGGGTATCAAATTAGCGCCTATGGCAATACGCATGCCGCCCCACATCTTAAGTATCATTGATTGGAACAATCCATTTGAAGATCCCATTCGTCGCCAATTCATACCAATGAAGTCAAGCAAACTTGAGGATCATCCCAAGGTTGAGTTAGACTCGCTGCATGAGTCTGACGACTCTCCCGTGGAAGGCTTCGTTCATAGGTACTATGACAAAGCCTTATTCTTAGGTAAGCTTTCTTTCCTCTCAAATTGATATTCATAATGAGCGTCCGCTAAACTTTCCCAAGCAACATCAATATGTCCACTGTACTGTCGCTTTTGCACTCGCTCATGGTCCATCGGACCGGAGACCGAAAATGTCAAGAAAACCACCTTCAAACCTCAACGAAAACGCTGGGAAGACATTTTTACCTACATCGAAGATACCCCTCAACTCCAAGACATCGTTGTTTCTGGCGGAGACTGTTACACTTTAAGCGCCGATAACCTTCGTCTCATCGGTGAACGCCTTATTTCCATCCCCCATATCAAACGATTCCGATTCGCCACCAAAGGTCTCGCCGTATCTCCTGCTTTTATTCTTGAGGATTGCGATGGATGGGCAGCTGAGATGATTCGCCTCTCACAATTGGCTAGAAAGGCAGGCAAAAGTATGGCTATCCATACACATTTCAATCATCCTCGTGAAATGACCTGGGTCTCAAGATTGGCCCTTCAGAAGTTACACGAGAACAATGTTACTGTGAGGAACCAGACTGTCTTGCTCAGAGGAGTCAATGATGATGTAGCCACCATGAGTGAACTCATCAAGACCGTGGCTGATAACAACGTCATCCCTGTACGTATCCTTCTACCCATCATCATCTCTTTTCAAGTCTTTATTCCACTTTTCATAACTAGTGCACACTCTAACATGCCATAGTACTATGTTTACCAAGCCGATATGGTGCAGTACGTTGAAGATCTCCGCACCCCCCTCTCTACAATCCTGGGTCTTGAACGCCACATCCGCGGCTCCATCGGTGGTTTCGTAACACCCAATTTTATCGTCGATCTTCCCGGCGGCGGCGGTAAACGTCTCGCCGCCTCATACGATACCTATGATCCTATTACTGGTCGCTCGACTTTCACAGCTCCAGCCGTCACCGGTAAAAATAAAGAAAATAGGATCTACGAATACTGGGACCCGTTGCATTCTCTCCACACACCCACAACCTCATCCTCTTAGAGAGGATTGGATCATTTCTCATCGGGTAAGGTAACGGTAGGTAGATAAATAGTGCTTTGATTTGGTGGTATCTATGGAGTTGGCTCTTCTCGCTGGCTGGTATCAATGGTATATATACCGAGTTTTCGAACTCATCGCGCGCGCATGAATTCTTTTTTTTTGGTCTAATTTTTCTGCATCTGGGTTTCTATCTTTTCTTGATGTTAGCCGAGCGAGCGAATCTAAAGATCCTTTATGTTTATTTTTTGTTTTCGTTTTTGCTTTGCTTTGTTCGCTTTGCTGTGGTGGAGCGTTTGATGAGTTTGGGACATACGGCACTTCACAGTACATCTTTTTTGCTTGCGTCTCACTTCTTCGTGGTGATATAATTGGCTCTTTGCTTCTTTGGCTCTGGGTGATGTGATGGGGCTCAGTTTCTTGAAGCTGCTGGATGCGGGTTTGAAAGGAAGGATGGATGGATGGATAGATGGACGGATGGAAAATATCGGGATACTTGTAACTGGATTTGAGGCGAAGAATTGATAGGGAGTGACTTTGTGAAATTGTGATATTGGCCGACATTGGCTTCGGTGGTTGATATGGGGGGAACCTTTCGTTTGCTAGGCACCTTACTTGCTTGCTGGCTGGCATAATCTTCAAAAGTTGTTGTTACTGTTGTTGTTTTCTAATACTAGTACAGTATACTTATTGGATTATCGCATTCTTGTTTCTCTCTTGCAGTAAAATGTAATATATAGCATATCATATATATCAGGGTACTTGAAGTAATGTAATGTCTCGTCGTATAGGTTTGCAGAGGTCAATTCATTCAAAGCTGTACCGGGCGCACTTCCCGTCCCGCCAACCGGTAAATGCCAAGCCGATATTTTCTGATCGGGATGGGATGTGATGTGATGGCTCGGATGTGATGATCGGATGTGAGGTCCGGATGTAGTTTAGTGTATCTTTGGATCTTTTTTTCTTATTTTTCGCTTATTGCGGTTTTTATAATACCGGTATACCTACTCATATATAAGAATATCCTATCAATTCTATTGATGGTTAATACTAAAGTACATCGAGACTCTTACATCGAGACTCTTACATCGAGGCTTGAAACCTATGATCTTACCCGACCCGATCTGATGATATGACCATGATCTACCGATAAAGTACTGGCTGGCAGACTGGGAGCTACTATATTCGGCATTTATTACTCCGAACTCTGTACGAGTATACCAATGCAATGATGACGGAGTACACGCCGAGAACAGTTTTGTGTGCGAGCCGCTGGGTGCGGGAATACTACGTTGATTTGATATATGGATTTACATATGTTGAGTTGGATTGGACTGGATTAGGCTCTTTTTATATAGATATAGATATAGATATAGATATAGGACGGGGTGGTATAGCAATCGTATATAAGCGATGCAGAGTAAAACTTGTATTGCGAGATAGATATCTAGGTGGGTAGGATGGGTATGGGTAAGGTTGCAATCACAATTTTGAATATAAAGTAAGGTTTCATCGACGAGATAAGGTTTCGTGATGTACATATTGATTTACGTTACAATTAGAATATTGTGGATGAGGAAAGGAGGAAAGGAGGAAGAGGAAAGGGGAGGGAGGGAAAAGAGGAGATGTGGAGAAATGGAGAATGGAGATATATTTCGTTAAGTACTGCCAAGGGCCCAGACTGGGTAATGTACTATGTACATATCGTTTCTAAAGAGTTCCTTGCTATTTCGTTGTATTGAATGCTTGGAACAAGTAGGCTAGTACTTATATGTATACCTCCGAAACGACCTTGTGCTTTATGTATTTCTAGCTAAATATATCTTTCTGCTTATCATAAAGAAGAGCAGCTTGACCTTTCCTACGAAGTGTTCAATCACAGGAAGAATTAGTTACCGAAGAACTGGATACACTACGTATTATTTACGGAAGGAATCCTTCGGAATCCTTCGCGACGTGTCTGTACGGTACCAAGGAATTCCTATCTATGGAGACGGACATTGTACTCTGTAAGATGCTAACGGTTGGGAACAGTCAGAACTAAGTATCAAGTACATTGCAACTTGTAAGCAAGCAAGCAAGCAAGAAGTGCTAGAATCCAACACAAGAGGTATAGTAGTTGCTAATTGGTGAGTTTACCAGTGGCGCCGATGACCGAGGAGAGGAGGGGCTTGAGCACGTTGTATTGTGCTGTATGTCGGTTTTTGTATCCCTTCAAATTTTTGGAATCATGATATGATTGATATGATTTGATTTGAATTGTGATGTATATACGTACGGATGGCGTTTGTGTAATTATTTAGAATCGAGATGATGCGGTTGTCACGGCTAATGCGAGTAACCGTGTGAGTGTATCTGCGGACTTGTGAATTGGTGTAATGTGATATCTTTGAGATATTTTGGAGATGATATGAAATATTTCAGAATTTTGAAGGTTCACATATATATCGGCATATACAATCTGTGAATTCTAGTAGATCTAGATGCGCAATTCATCTTCTGCTTCGGGAGATGTATTCAATATGTACGGAGTACACCAATCGAATTTTCCAAGAAAGAAAAGGGATATTGAGATGCTGATCACTTGATTTCGTGAAGCACCCGCGTTTGATTCATGTATACAGCAAAACCTCTCTATAAGGATACTGGATATAAGGATAACCTCCATATAAGGATAATATTTTGGGTCCCTTTAATAATTTGGTAATAAAAGAGGTGATATAAGGATAACCTTCAATATAACGATATCCTTAATATTTTGGGTCCCGAAATCCTTGCATATCCTTATTTTGGGTGGATTTAGGCCGGAAAGGGTAGGAATCTCATCGGATATTATCGGATCTTGACTCGAAAGGGTAGTATACGTGACTAATACACGTGATTAGATCTCAATCTTGACTTGAAAGGGTAATACACGTAATTGAAATCCAATCTTGACCCGAAAGGGTATTGATATATCAGAGCACGTGGCTCCACGTGACGACACGTGACTACATTGAAATCTCGATATAAGGATACCTCCAAATATCCTTATTTTTGGCGCTGAAAAAAGTATCCTTATAGAGAGGTTTTGCTGTAGTTGTCAAGTTGGTTGCCACCAGCCGTGGAGAAGACAAGAGGGCGGAAGGATCTGACCGCTTCTCCTCCTCATTCCACAACACCTCTCCTAGGCTACTATACATCTACAACGACAAGAAAGATCTCCTTTGGCAATAAATGAATACGGTATCATGTTGGTTTTCGTACATGACCTTACGTGAAAGATACTCGAGTATAATACTGTAAACAAAGCCCAAAGATAACTGCTGGCGCGATTCCAGATAATCACTAGATAAATGCAAGGGAGAGGGGAAGGGGATATTTTCAGCTTCTACAAAACAGCAACAGAGAACGTTATCGTCCAAATAGCCTATCCTTGCTGTATGCAGTACGCCTCTTGATTGTTTTCGGACTAAGAATCCACGAAACCACGAGGCTGATACTGCTTCACGGGCGTTTGCTGTATCACACAAATACGGTAGAGGTGCAGTAAAGTTGGGCCCTCTCACGAACATGGCTTGATTAAGGTTGTGTTTGCATATATATACCGTATACATTGTGTATTTATGTCACAGGAATTCAAGATTACAGAATCACTGTTGTATAACGGGTTTATGTCCGTTAGCCGTGAGAAACAATATGTTGTGTATGGTATACTCGTATATATACAGTGGGATGTCTTGTCTAACATTGAAAAGGACAAGGAAACGAAAGAGATAGGAGAGAAACAGGCATTTCCGAATATCTAAGAAGAAGTTTCCATGGAACTTCTTCCCTTTCTCTTAATCAATAATATAAATGCCTGTTTGTCTTGGTCCATATCTCTTATTCCTTTCTCATTGTGGTCTCTCGAAGCGGAAAAAGTAAGGATCTTCCATGGATATCTGAACAAGGTCTATTTATTGGTGAAAGCTTGTGCCTGCATACTAGGACCCTTGGATACAAACCCTTGTGCTTCCAGAATGGACGTGGAGATCTCTAGGCAAATCAAGAACCAAATATTGATACTGTAATTTTGAATTGTGACAATACATAAAATAACGAGTCAATAACCTTACCTTAATGGAGGGATTGAAAAAGAGAGACAGCAACCCAAGAGGCCCAAGGGGAGAAGAAGACCCAGGCTGGTGGTTATGTCACTGGGATCAATGAACACAACGGGTTTCAATATCATTGATCAGAATCAGAACCCATCAGATGAAGTTCTTGGATCTTCCACTTTTTCCATCCTCTCCACATGTTCTCCAGTCTTTTGATTGCTTGTAGTAATGTAATTCGTTCCATTCCACCGTTCGTTCGTTCGTTCGTTCCTTCGTTCGTTATCTCATATAAACCCGAAAATCATAACGGAATCCAGTTACCCTACTTCTATATGCCCATACTCATCCATACGATCCAAGATTCCATACCCATCCGGTACCAAACTGTGAGCTCACAGGTAGAATCAGTCCGGGGTTGCACACTCCATCATGACCATACGCGGAAAAGAACCGCAATAACCTTTATATCAGCGGTCCCGTCGTAAGGAGATTCGTTCGCAACGCGCTGCACGATTGATGCATTGGTTGGAACTTGGGAGACAAGAAATCTGAATAGCCACTCAAGTCTCTCCTCTTTCTTCTGACAAAAGAAAAAGAAGAATCCTTCTGCACTCGATTGGATATTCCGTCATGGTGTCAAATATGAAAGAGCGCAATCCGCACATCACCCCCATCTCTACCCTCTCAACGCTAACAAATAATTCGACTTCGAATCTCTTCTCGCCGACGGCTTTGGCAAAACCCTCGTTCGATATACGACCGGAATCTTCGCCAAATCTTTCATCGTCAGGTTTACATCGAAAGCATCAGAAGGAAATGACGGGGTGCGGTGGATATGCTACTACTGATGAAGAATTCCATGCTCTTCCCCCAGCTCTAAAACGGAAGGTATATATATCTTTTTCGTTGTTATCGATTTTACAGTTTACCATATATATGCCGCGATATGGTTATCATAATTTAATAAAAGCAAGGTTGGAGGTCATTTTGTTATATTTCAGGGTCAAGCTATCGAAAAAAAAGCAAAGCTATAAAAGTTTAGCCTGTGTCCGTGAAAGTTGGGTCTCCCATTGGTACATTTAGTGGTGTCTTCCAAGTTCCCGCCCGCACATGCGCGCTAGATCTCTCGAATTCACACTGGCGGCGAGATCAGCAGACGCTATGAACTCATTGGCATGCAGGTACAAGAGACAGTGGTTTTACAATTCGTCTCATGTGTTTGTCGACAGTAGAAACGTAGTGATCAAAGATGGGTACTGACGGGACTCTTTCGCAGTATTTTTCTACCTTGGAGCGTCTTCGATTCGCACAAAGTTCGAGGTCAAATGCCCTCAATGAGCTTCCCACCCAGAGTATCCGCAAGAGCTCCATCGCCGACCGACGTGGCTTGAAGATTTCAGAGCTCGAGCCTCGACGCAGACCCTCGCGACGTTTGAAAAAGAAGAAGCAACATTCTCCCTCTAATAGTGATGATAAATCCTGGTTTTTGAGCAATTACGAATCATTCCCGGACACGATCAAAAGAAAACAATTCTCGAGCGAGGAACAAGCTATATTGGCAGGCAGGATACGGGAGACAGTGATTTTAGATGCTGCCGACGAAAATCTCATAATTCGAAGACGATCTCGTCGAATGGCGTCAAATCGACCAATACTATCTCCAAACCTCCAAAGCCCAGTCTTGAGTGGGAAAGTCAGTGGAACTCGCAGGAGAGCCTCTATGACAAGTATGGCCGACACGTTCTTTGATAACTTCCAATGGAACGATGAAGAGTCTAAATTAGATCTACATTTGGATGAATATCACGCTTCAATATTTCCGTTAATAAAGAGCGATCGAAAACCATCATTTCGCCGACAAATGTCAATTTCAAAGCTTCCTTTTGGAAGAAGCCCCTTGTCTTCGATAGAGCCTCAAACTCCAAATCCCATATCCCCTACCTTTAGCACACACTCTCGTTCAAAGACTCGAGACACTTCAATCATTGGACCAAATCATGCCGCAAAACACAAAGTTAATTCCTCCCTATCATCAATTGACGCCAACGCCACCCACTACCAAGACCCGGAAGCACGACTAAAACTACGAGTATACTTAGCATCACCACAAAAGTTTGACGAGATAATCGAATTTGGATTCCCGTCCATGGACGCAGCAGTGGAAGCGCCAGAGAAAAGGAACAGGCCACCGAAATTATTATCGAAACGCTCGTCGATGGATTTATTGAGGAGGAAAATCTCGAGTCCGGCGTTTGACCATTCATTCTTCAATGACGACACAGCTTCATTATTCGAGGACGATACATCGATGGTAGACTCGGAAGCACCCATAACACCACTGGAATATGAAAGCGGATTCCCATCCCAGCGATCTCCATATTATTATAACGGCAAACCTCTCGTGGATTGCCAACCAGGCACTACCAAAATACCTAGCAAGCAGCAAGATCCTTATACCCAAGCCATGGCAGGAAACCGGGAACCCACGCTCCGCATGACACTTACACGCCAGGACCTTCGAGATGAGAGTGCCATATACGGATGGCAATTGAAGGAGCCGCTCGTCCTGGAGGATTTGGAAAGCCACCGGTATCCACGCGGACCCATGGGTGGAGCGGATGGCTGGGGCCCAACGGAGAAGGAAAATGGGGTGGTGAAAAGGTTTTGGAAAAGAGTCAAGAGTCAACGGAAGACTTCGTGACCGCTTGGATATACATACATGTCAGTTTATAAGTCACATCTTTTGTCGAGTATTTTAGCGCGCATCGGGTATCGATGTTTGTAGGTATGTATCAGCATTTGCTTTGTAAGATACCTCTCCTAATGTTTGGTTTGCATGCATAAATGCGTGCATGGCTGGTTGGCGTGGCGTGGCGTGGCTATTGAATGGATACCAGGGTTTCGAAAATAATGGTTAGAACTGTGGTCCGGATTGGAATGCTTGAGATGTTTGATATGTTGTGAATCTTGGAGTGTTGTGTTATATCTTGATAGGCTTTTCGTTCGCGAACCCCTTGACGTTCGGTAAAATTAGGAGGGATGGAAAGAAAGTACCTAGTAGTGTTTGGAATGGAGTAAATGTTCTAGACGGATTCAATGTACGAGTTATCACTGCGACATATATCAAACAAGTTCGGTCAGTATACTCGAGTAGTATGTATATATGTATGAGATGGGTCCAAGAATCAACAACCATAAATCCCAATCCTCATTATTGGATTGCAGGCACTCCTTTACCAATATGTACCAGAAGGGGTGTTTTGAGTTTCTCCTTGAATTAGGTACAACTTTCCTCAATTATACTTCCTCGAGACTTTCGTAAAAGATCGAACTTTGAGCATTGACTTATCAATAATGGGAAGGGGGGAATCAATTTATAATGCTTATTGATTTGTGCTATCATAGCGGGAGAGTCACTTGCCTTGAATTGTGGTATTGATTCTGTACGAGTACTTTGATAATATAATAACAAAGAATAACATTCCTATCGGTATACGGCTATTGATGTTCACGGGTAATGTAATGGTAACGGTAATGGTAACAGTCATCTTTATACTTCATGCTTATGATAGATATCAGGCAATTGTAGTGAATTATTGAATTATATATACCTTTGAATATATATATGTAAAAGTATTGGGAAGAATATGCTCGAATATATGGATTTTAAAAATCATTAAAAATAAACATTTTCTCCACCAAAAAGTATACCAGAAATAGAACTTCATCCCCCAAACAGTCCAAATCAACCGCCGAGGGTAGGTGCTTAGTTGATTTTATAGGTCCGAGTTTGAGGCACAGGTGTGGCGCAAAAGTGCCTGAAACAAGTTAACTAAGGTAATAACTGTACATACGAGTAGGCTCAAACCACCATTTATCATTGTTTCCAAAAGAAAGACAAGACGACACCCACGCAATCAATCTGTTCATTGTTTCTTGTTACTATCAACCTTTACTTATCAAATTGTCCAAAGAAATAACATACTGATCATCATAATCGAAGCTTCATGCGCTCCGGTATCACAACCAACCTGCGAAGATGAGGCTACGGAGCTCTGAGACAGGATGGCGGAGCCTCCTGATATCAACACTTCTCTATACTGGCGCATGGGGAAAGAAAGATGCGCCTGGGGTAAACTACGCCAAATTAGAACATCCACCGCATAATTTGCAGTACTTTGACGATTCCGATGTGCTGCTGTATGAAGATAGAGTCGATGGAGTTATAATGAGATCGGAGGATGCGGGAGAGACATGGAAGTCAATCGATGTCGTTCCCAAAGGCAAAGTAATGGAATTTTCGATGCATCCATACGATCCGAAAAGAGCATACATTATAACGTTGGGGACGAATCACTGGGCAACTAAAGATAGAGGCAAGACCTGGCAGGAGTTCGATTCGGAAGCTCAAGCTAGTGTATTCAGGCCGGCGATGAGTTATCATGCAAGAGATCCGGATAGGATTATCTTTAATGCAATGGACTGCACAGGGATCTTCTGCGAAGAATTGGTAAGTAGAGTCGCATTTCCTGCCGGAAAGTCCATCTACTAACTCTTCTTCAATAGACCATGTACACTACCGCCGGATTTGACGAACTTACTAAATTCTTACGTTCTGATACCGCGGGCTGCCGCTGGGCAGTATCGTCACCGGAGTTTACAACTGGTCAGAAGGATCTTGATAATGACCGGATTCTCTGTGTGGTCAAAGGCAGATATTCTCCATGGAGGAAAGACTACCGACTTGTCATTTCAGATGACTTCTTCGCTTCAAAAGGCGACGATATACAAGAATTTGAGCCGGAACTCGAGCCAGGTCGCACGGTTCAAGGCATTGTTGAAGTTGCAACCCAGAAGAAATTCTTGATCACAGCTGCAAGTGCTGCCGGTACTGATGAGATGGCACTTTACGTCTCTGACGATGCCATCAAATGGCACCGCGCAGAGTTCCCAGTTGATCACAAATTGACGCAGGAGGCATATACCATCTTGGAAGGAACCAACTACAGTATTCAAATCGATGTTTTAAATACGCGCCCACTGAATGCTATGGGAGTCATGTTCACCAGTAATTCAAATGGAACATATTTCACACGGAATATTGAGCACACAAATAGAGATATGAATGGCATGGTTGACTTCGAGAAAATGGCTGGAGTGCAAGGAATTGTCATGGTCAACGTTGTTGATAACTATGAAAAAGTCCAGAGCAGTTTTCTAACCGAGAAGAAAATCAAATCCAAAATCAGTTTTGATGATGGACGAACATGGCAACCTCTTAAGGTAAAAGATAAAGACCTCCATGTTCATTCTGTAACAGAATTAGACAATTCTGGTCGAGTCTTCTCTAGCCCGGCTCCAGGTTTAGTAATGGGGAACGGCAACACAGGAGAATTTTTGGAGGATTGGGATAAAGCAAACCTTTATGTATCTGATGATGCAGGAGTTACATGGCATAAAGCCCTCAGTGGACCACACAAGTATGAATTTGGAGATCAGGGCTCCGTTCTCGTGGCTGTACATGATGGTCATACGAATGTGGTCAAGTACTCGCTAAATCACGGCAAAGACTGGAAGGAAGTCGAGCTCAAGGGTAAAATGCGCCCACAACAATTGGTCACAACCTCGGATTCAACAAGCCTCAAATTCGTTCTCATAGGTTTAGATGATTCTGACAAGAAGGATTACTATATGATTTCACTTAACTTTGACGAGATGCATGAAGGACAGTGCAAACAGTCTGATTTGGAAAAATGGTATGCGAGAGTTGACAGCGACGGCAAACCGACTTGTCTCATGGGTCACACACAATGGTACGAACGCCGCAAGGCCGACTCAGATTGTTTCATGAAACAAGAATTCAAGGATCCAGTCGTCCAAACAGATCTTTGCGATTGCACGGATGCTGATTTCGAGTGCGATTACAACTTTGTCAGAAGTGATGATCGCAAAGAATGTATACAAAAGGGTGCTTTAGCCCTTCCAGAAGGTGCCTGCAAAGCTTTCGGTCCCGATGACGTATTCCTTGGGTCTTCCGGGTGGCGTCTAATTCCTGGAGATACTTGCAAGCGTGTCGGTGACAAGCAGAAGGACAGCCCAGTTGAACACAAGTGCGCGACTGCCGTGGGTCCTCCTGCTTCCGGTGAAGGAAACTCTACCGAATTCACGTTCAAGGGTCAAGCATTCCTTGACAAACAATATCTCGAGAGAACTGGCGTTAGTATAGAAACCGATGAAACGATCGTAGTACAAACCGACCAAGATACCATTTGGCTTACTCACGATCATGGAAAAAGATGGAAGCAAATCTTGAAGGATGAGAAAATCGTTCGAATCTACACCAATCAATACTTTAATGATGTCGTGTTTTTCTTGACGAAGACCGAGACTGTTTTCTACTCTGTCGATCGTGGAGAGAACATTAGAAGCTTCAAGGCCCCTCATCCACCAAGTCATGACACTGCCGCAATGAATTTCCATCCTAGAAACAAGGACTGGATTATCTGGATGGGTGAGAAGTGTGATGGTCCGGGTAACTGTCATACGGTAGCTTCACTCACACAAGACCGAGGAGATAGCAATTGGAAAACTCTCGAGCGATATGTCCGGAAGTGCGAGTTCATCAAAGAAGCTGCAAATCAAAAACGTGACGACAAACTGATTTATTGCGAGATCAGAGAACATGAAAATAACGAAGCTAATAATCCATGGCAACTGGTCTCGAGTACGGACTTCTTCTCTGAGCCTCCTAAAGTGCACTTCAACAATGTGGTTGACTTCGCTACGATGTCCGAGTTTATCGTTGTCGCCACAAAGGATGACGAGCACAAAACTTTGAAGGTCGACACGAGTTTTGATGGAGTTAACTTTGCCGATGCCAAGTTCCCTCATGGTTTTGAGATCGACCACCAAGTTGGGTATACTGTGCTCGATAGCTCCACTCATTCTGTTTTCCTTCATGTCACAACCAATAATGAGGAGGGCTCCGAATATGGAACTATTATCAAGAGTAACTCTAATGGTACTTCGTATGTCCTGAGTTTGAACGCTGTGGACAGAGACAGCGCTGGTTATGTGGATTTCGAGAAGATGCTTGGTCTTGAAGGAGTTGCCATGGTCAATGTTGTTGCGAATGCAGGATCGAAGAACTTCAAGAAGGAGCAGAAGAAGCTAAAGACCATGATTACCCACAACGATGGTGCAGAATGGGATACGTTGAAGCCTCCCGCACAAGGTCCCGATGGAAAGAAGTGGGGATGCAGTGGATCAATGGAGAAATGCTCATTGAATATTCATGGTTACACTGAGAGATCTGACAAATCCCACACATTCTCGTCTCAATCTGCAATCGGGCTAATGATGGGTGTTGGTAATGTTGGGGAATTCCTGACCGACTACAGAGACGCCGACACATTCATCACCACGGATGGTGGTATCAACTGGAAATTTGTCAAGAAGGGGGCCTACATGTGGGAATTCGGAGATCAGGGATCAATTATTGTCATCGTGAAAGAGCGTGCATCCGTCAATGTCGTTCATTATTCGCTGGATGAAGGAGATACTTGGATTGACTACAAGTTCTCCGATTCTGAAATGAAGGTTAACGATTTCACTACGGTCCCGAGCGACAACTCTCAGAATTTCATCCTTTGGGGTGTGATCAATGGTGACCTCACAGCTATCAATCTCGACTTCTCTGGTTTGAGAGATAGACAATGTAATCTCGATGAGAAGGATGTCGAAGGGGGAGACTATTATCTCTGGGAACCAAAACACCCCAAGCAAGATGATGACTGTCTCTTTGGCCATGTTTCGCAGTATCATCGGAAGAGGGCCGATGCCAATTGTTACAATGGAAGAATGATTCCTGCTCTGCACAATATCGCCAAGAACTGCACCTGTACCAGACAGGATTTTGAGTGGTAAGTAACCCGCTGTCAATAGGTTTTCTAGAAGTTAACATAAAACAGTGATCATAACTACGAGCGCCAACTTGATGGATCTTGTGCCCTCATCAGAGGTTACTCGCCACCGGACCACTCCGAAATATGCCGAATTGATGAAAATGTGGTCGAATACTATGAACCCACAGGCTATCGACGAATTCCTATCACCACCTGCCAAGGAGGAAAAGAATATGATGTCAATGATAAAGCATTCTCTTGCGCTGGACACGAGGACGAATTCAACAAGAAACATGCCGCCTCTGGCTGGGCTATCTTCTTTGCAGTCATCATACCAATCGGTATTGCTTTCGCTGTTGGAATCTGGGTATGGCGCAACTGGACCGGAAAATTCGGTCAAATCCGTTTGGGTGAACAAGGTATGTCACACTAACTCCCCATCTCACCTTTTTTGTCAAGCATACTGATATGAATTACAGCTTCATTCGATGGAGAAGCGCCATATATCAAATACCCGGTGATGTTCGTCGCGGGAGCAGTAGCAGTCGCCCAAGCAATCCCACTCCTGGCATCTTCACTCTGGCGCTCGGCTTCGGGTGCGTTGGGTAGAATTCAACCGGCGAATCGTAGATTTACTACGAGAGATAGTTTTGCGAGGGGGAGAGGAGATTATGCGGTGGTGGATGAAGATGAGGGTGAACTTTTGGGGGATGATAGTGATGATGAGGTTTGAATTTGAGTTTGAGACTGGATTTGAGAGGGCGGTTTTCTTGTTATTAGGTTGAGCGAGTGCAGCGAATGGATTGGGGTGGGATTGATATTTGATATGAGAGGAATATTGAAACAGCGAGAGCGAGAGCGACAGCGAGATTTTGGAATGATTCATTGATTGATTGTTTGGCTGGTTGTATGGATTAGGATTAGGATTAGGATCAGGGTTAGGATTAGTATTTGGAACTGGGGATTGGGGATTGGGTATCTTAGTTGACATGAGATGAGATGAGATGAATGGTAGCGAGTTCGAGGGGGAGGTTTTTAAATGTGTGTGAGGTGGAATATGATAGGTGCGGTGGTTGGTTGGTTGAGGCGCAAAAGTGAGTGAGTGATTGATTGATTGTATATTATTATTATTATTATGAATCAGGATGGAGATGAAGATAGAGATGAGGATGAGAATGAGGATGAGGATGAGGATGACGTGGGTGGTAGCCTAGATTAAAAAACTAAAAGATTATCAGATTAACTTGACTTGACTTGATTTGATGGTATACTCGAGTAGTACTTGAGTACTCGTATACTCGAGTAATCTGTATGATTATTGTAGTGATGTTTGGATGGGTTTTGTGTATGTTGGGGGGGAGAGAGGGCCCGAATTATTATAGCTAGTGATAATTAGTAGTTAACTAATTGAACTAGTATACTCGAGTACTAATTAAACTAATAGTTTACTTACTCGAATTTAAAATAAAAATTAACATAGTATATATAATTCCAATTACTATTCGAAATCTAGATAATACGATAACATTAATTTAGTTTCAAAATTATAAATTTAAGTAATAAAACTTATTCAACTAGTAATTTAATATATCTTGTTGAATTATGGATCAAGTATAGTTGAATAATGAATCACGTAGACTGGATATCATATAATGGGTTCAATACTTGTTGGCTAACTTAAAGAATATTAAGAGGGGGAGTTTTCGAAGAAGCTATATGCATGCGTGTGCTAGGCTAGCGGCCGCTACCCGTACCCTGCACATGCATCATATACGCCACGAAACTGGCTATATTCAACATATCTAATTTAAATTAGTAATTAGTTTAAGCTAATAAATTCATTCTATTGATTTCTCTATTAGTTCAAACTACTAACTATACTTATCTTTATTTATATATCTAGTCTCTACTAATTACTAACTAGCAAATACTAACTATCAATTATCAACTATTAAGTATTGATTACTAAATCATATATAACTATAGCCTCTAGCTCTAGCTCTACGTATTATATTCTCGAGCCTCTGAGTATAAATATGACATCAACATCAACATATTATCAACATCAACATCACTGGCACATCATATCCGAGGTAGATAGGTTTCCTAGGTTAAGCTAAGTTAAGCTAAGTTAAGCTTATGAGATTGGAATGAATAGAATGTGATCTAAATGCATTATATTGCATTGTATTCGTAGACTAACTCCCTTCCTTCCTTTCACAAGTTTCCTTCTCTTCTTCAATTCCCTCGGCGTCCCTTTTCTTCACTTTCCCCTAATCTTTCAACCTCCCTCCTCTCTTTCCACCCCCTCACTCCCTACAACCCTATCCCAATCCGAACTTTCAACCCCAGCCCCAGGAAAATATACCCACATCAACATCAACATCAACATCAACATCAACACCCATAACGATTCAAATTATGATAGATATATAGGTCAAAGATGCAACCCACCCCTCCATCTCCATCTCATATATCAGATCTCCCCCATCTTCCCCATATTCCCCATATTCCACATCTCAATATTCTCCATCTCACCCATCTCCCCCAGTCTTTTATATCTCCTCCATCTCCCATCTCTCCATTCCCCATCAACTCAAATCCAAATCCAAATCCAAACTCAAATTTCACCTCCCCCCCCGTACTATTGTAATATAATATACTCGAGTAATAGCAATAAAGTATAATACTATAGTAGTCTAAGAGACTAAGACTAATATTATACTCGTAATATCATTGATCTAATTGATCAATAGAATCATTATAGTTATAGTTATAGTTATAGTTATAGTTTCGGTTTCATTTTGGATTATATATATATGTTTATTAGATAAATATCTTATATCTCAAAATATTTAGTTTATTCAAGTTCGTAGCTAGTAGCTAGTGACTATTAGAGAGAGAAGTAAATTCTATATATATTACTCAAGTAGATAGTGAGTACTAGATATATCTAAAATATTACATTTTTATTATATAAAAGAAATTATAGCTTGGAGAAAAAACTATAATATTTAAAGGTATAAGTAGTTCGAATACTTGTCTAATTCAAACTAGTAGTATTCTAGAAATATTATTTAGACTAGCTAAACTATTAGTAATTATTTAATTATTTATATTGAATATTGAATATTGAATACTAACTATATACTCGTACTCTACCCCAATATATACCCACCTAGGCTCTAGAACATAAGATTAATAAACGCATTATCAAACACCAACAGATTTTAAAGCAGGAAAATCAGTAGTCTGATATCTAGATCAATTCTACATGGTCTTATCTAAGAAGAAAAAGTAGAAGAAGAAATACCGGAAGGGCATAGGAGAGTTGTCTTGCTAATGACTATGTATATGGATGGTATAGAATAGGGTGAAGTGTTTTTACTCGAGTTATACAATATCAATCGAGGCTTTGCTTATATATTTCTAGTACTTATATACTTATATATACCCATTCCCTTCATATCATGAGTCATATATAATATATCTATCTATCTTCGATGCAGGAATGAAACATCCTATGAATAGTATGTATAAGTATAATATATGTATACTCCACCAAAAGATCCAAAGTGAAATTACATATCCAACCTAACTCAGCTCCAGCCATCCATCCATCCATCCATCCATCCATCCATCCATCCATCCATTCATTCCACTAAAACTCAACACTAAATACCCAAAAATCAAAGATAAAAGTTACCAACTAATAGGTACTCAAAACTTCAAATCTCCAAATCCTACCATCAAAACAAAAACCAATTCGTCAAAAACACAATCCCCAACATAACACAAGAAATATGTAAATGCATCGCATCCCCCGAAAGAGTAGTTTGTTGCGCCCCCGTCGTGGAATTAATCCCCGTGGTAGCTACTCCAGTATTCGCACTCGTACTCGAAGGGGGATTAATAAGGAGTGTGGATTCGGAAGTGCTTTCTGAAGCGTCGCTCGCGGTGCTCGCTGTTAGTGATGGGTCGTCGGTGCTTGTTAGGGTGGATGAACCTATTGCTGAAGTATCTGTTTTGGTTGAGTTTGCATAGGGAGCAATGATGCTCCCTGTCCCGCTTCCATAGCCGGTACCTGTACCTGTACCTGTTGCATATCTGGAGCCGGAGCCGCTGGTAGTGGCGTCGCATGTAGAGACGGTTACCCATGCAGTAGTAGTGGTCCATGTTGTGGAGCCGCTGGTTTTGGTTACGACGGTGGAGTAGGAGTAGGTTGTGAGAGATGAGGCTGGGGTCTCAGAGGCGTATGTTGGGACTATGGCGGATGTGACGCCGGTTCCCCATGTGTTTTTTGTGGAGGATTGCATACCGGTCCCCCATGCTGCGCTGCTGGCTAAGTCTGATGCTGCTGAAGTCCATGCGAGAGTGGATGAGGCTATACCTGATTGTGTGGTTGCGGCAGCTGTATGAAAATTAGTAAATCAATTTGGAAAAGTGGATATAGGACGAAACTACCTGATGTTGATGCTGAGGGCCACAACATATCATTTGTTGAACTTGGACTAGAAACTTCCGAGCTAGAAGATACTCCACAGTCTCCGGTTACTGTAACGGTAACTGTCAATGGATCTGCTGCGGCTGCTGCTGAAGTTGAAGATGCTACCCAGCTTGATGCTGCAGATGTGACGTCCGATTCGACGCTGGGAATAGACGTTTCGGATGCAATATCCGACGCTACGCTGGGAATAAACGTTTCGGAGGCGATATCCGACGCCACGCTGGGGATGTATACTTGAGATGTGAAAACAGCTGCAGCGCTAGTAGCAGTTTCTCTTGCTGGGCAGTTTGTCACAGTATCCGCGCAAGAAGTTATTGTTGATGTATCCGTAACTGATACTACATCAGTCACAACTTGAGCTGAAGTCGAAGTCGTGAGTTGACCTAGGATAATTGACCCAAGTCCGAGTATGAATGTTGAACGAGCCATTCTTTGATTTTTTTAGAGGCTATGATTATGAAAAAAGTATGTTTACACGATGAAATAATCGTGACTTGTTTTCTAAATTTTCGTGTATAAAAGAAAGGAAGAAAGAAAGGAAGAAAGAAAGAAAGAAAGAGAGAAAAAGGAGCGTGGGGAGATATCAAGATCTGTTAGAAGACAAGAGCTTGAGTATCCTTGACAAACAGGTTATTCAAACAGACCTCTCGAGGCTTTGGCGGCACAAGGGAGACGAACAAACGCGATGTTGATAGTAATATACTTTTGATAATGCTGAATTAAGAGAAAACAACGGAGGCGCAGAAACGAGCGCGACGGGTAAGTCAGAAGAAACTTATGCAAACAGAAAGAAGGCAGAAGTAACGGATGTTGGCATGTAATATGTAGGCAATGCTGTGTTAGTTGGAGGTCTAGAATATGGAAGAGACATTCCTGCAAGTTAAACTTTGGTGAGGACGCGAATCTGGTGGAGATATGAGGTCGTCGACCTTTATAACATACGCCTCAGCCCTCAAGACCTATCTACCTTTTTTATTTTAGATATCTGCATCTATGATGTCTTAAGGACCGGGATCCCATGAAAAGGAATCACAGCCCTATTGAAGCGCCTAGATTAAGAATCCAACCAATCATTCGTTGTTTGATGCAAAACAATGTATGATATATGAAAAGCCTTCAATGTTTATGTTTGATACCGATATGGTGATACGTTACTATTCGCAACGAACGCCATGGCATATGAGAATACTTACCCATTTTCCGGAGCCGATTTTGCATGCCAACTGCCAATATGGAGAATCGTATGAGATCCACACTCACTTCATCGGTCATCTCAATATCTCCGACGGATTTGGAGAAATGATTACTACTGCCCATTGAATGAATATCTATCCACATTGAATATCAAAAGAACACTGGTCCTCGAAGATTCCATATCTCGAGAGGTGTGGGGTTCATGGCAGTTGCGGCTGTGAGGTCTTCAAGATGGATATTGCAACCGCGCGTTTGCGCATTAGAGTCCAACCGGATACACCTCGCAGCGACCGAATGTATATTCCTATAGTGGGGAATTTCATGACGATTGAGGTCAAGGTGATACTACAGATCTGTACTTCAATATAGAATTGCTGCAAGATGTTCCCGAACTTACAGCACAAAGATTCTGCTACAATAAAATGGAACAGAATTGCAACGTAACCACTCTCAAAGCAATACAAAAACGTGACCGTTAACCGTTAACCTACAGACAAATCCCAACCCGTTGTGAATGGAAATTGAACTTATATTGGCCTCGTAAAATCCTTCTGTATGTTTGCAAGAGCAAATAGCGAGTCAAAAGGTGTTGAGGCTGCACACCATGAACACAATGGAAGAACCACTCCAATTGATAGCAAGACATATGACCTAGTCAAGCGATTGTACCGGTAAATCAAGGGATACAGTGTCGTTTCAGTACTACTGAAGTGGATGTGGCCATCAGCTTCAAGATGGATAGTCTTGCCTGCCAAGCAGTACGGTATGACCTTCCTTAAAGGAAGGGTAGATACCGTGATTGACATAGTATTTGCAGTGTTCGATGTTCTCTAGGTAGAAGAGGGATATATTTCATCAAATATCAAAAACTATTCCACCAGTGCTAGTGTGTAAGGAGAGGAGTGGTTGATTCCCCAGACTGGTCACGCCGGTTTATTAGTAGAAAGCTCACCGGTAGGAATCTTTCAAAAAGAAAAGGCAAGCTCACTGAGATTAGGAGATTACCTACTTTCTGATTTCGCCGGCCACGATAAGATAATATACAGAATGCTCTGAAGATGTGTTTTGTGTAATTGTAATGGTATATTGAAAGAATTTACAAGTAGAAGTTAGGTGATAAAATATAAGATAAGTTGCGGGGAGAATTAAGATAGACAACCTTCCCTTTGTTGTCATCATTGCATATGAGGAGATACGACCAGCTATTAAAACCAATCTAATTTACAACCTCATAACTCACTTCCAGTAAACATCAAAAATGGCATCCTCTCAACCAACCTTACTACATTCTAGTACCGCGTCCGACGTCGAATCCTCTTGTAAAACTTTTGATATTACACCAGAGCAATTCGCCACCTTACTATCACGAAGCGCATCTGCGAAATCCACTGCTTATTGCCCTTATTCTAGGTTCCGAGTTGGCGCAACGATTCTCACACACGAAGGTTCATTTATCGATGGCGCAAATGTCGAAAATGCTGCATATCCCGTTGGCACATGTGCAGAGCGAGTTGCTTTTGGCAAGGCTGTAACTGAGGGGCATAAGAGATTCAAGGCCGTGGCTGTCGCAACAGATATCAGTCCACCAGCAAGTCCCTGCGGGATGTGTAGACAATTGTAAGCCTTCTCACTCATGAAAATGTCCAGAAATCTCTCCGCTTGGAAATTATTGGGCTTTGAATTTCAAGACAAAATGCGCTAATCAATTTGTGAATAGCATTCGGGAGTTCTGCGATCTTGATACTCCCATATTCATGTTCGATAAAAATGGGGATTTCGTCGTCTTGAGATTAGAACAGGTATACCAAATTCCTGCCATTCTGGCTACCACTCAAATACAATGCTAATCTAGCATAGCTACTGCCTTTGTCTTTTGGACCGGAAGCTCTACCTCCGCGGGAAAGTCTGGGTGATTCTTCAACCTCCGTGTGATAAGGATATGCTGTGCGATCATTCAACCTTTTTGTGATAAGGATATACCGTGCGATCATGCAAATAGTACATATACCGTCAACTATTGGCTCAATATTTTGATATAATCTAGGAGAAGTTTGGAAACATCAGCGCATAGGATATCTGGCCATATCTATTCACCAACTCCTCCAAGTGCTGTCATTTTACTCAAATCCTCTTCTGGGCTATCATTTTGCATGTAGCTACCTCTTCTCTGTTCTAATTTGATACAAAGTTTTAAAGTGCTTAGGACATTGTCCTACATTTGCCACTGTAGGAGAGTTATGTAGGTACTCCTGGAGAATTCTGGCCGACAGAGTTGTTGGCTTGAGGAACAGCATCATATATCCTGGTCAGTCAAGGTAAGAGGTAGGACGGCATACTTCTATACCATGTCGTTATGTGTATGTCACATAGAGAAAGCTTTTCTCTGTTTTTTGTCCTCTTCCAAATCAATTTCCATTTCACGGGCAATTTTCAACCCGCCATAGTCCACAATCATCAGTGACAATGCCATCCTTTCCCAAGATTCACAATACCTACTTTGTGGCTATCATTGCCACATGGGTGGAATGTTGTATATACTTGACTCATTGTTTTGACAGCAGAAGCTGATATTGGCTGTAGTTCCGGGTTCGATATCTCTTCCATGAGCGCTATAATTGGTATAAGACAACATACGAACTAATTTAATGATTCACATAGCATCATTCAGGGTGTTATCGGATCTGCTCTTGTAGCTGGCTCAATTATTGGGTCATTCATAGCCGGCCTTATATCTGAAAAAGGGGACTTTAGGACTCTTTTCTTTGCTTGTTTCTGGTTTCTCATTGAAACCACGGTGCAAATTTTATGCAAGAAAATTGGACAGCTTATTGCAGGACGTATCATGAACGGTGTTTGTGTTGGTATATCACATCATGTCAGGTCCCGGTCTACCTTACCGAGGTTGCAAAGAAGGAGAGACGTGGAAGGCTTATTGTCATTCAACTTGCTGTAAGTATTCAATGCTGTATAATGCCCGTTTTATGTTCGAAACAGTACTCTTGGAATTCCTGAGCGCTCTAATACTTTCCCAACATCAATCTGGTATGCATCACTCATTTAAGCCTTGACACATTAAATGGGGTATCTTCATCATGTTCTTTTTTTCGGCTACGGCTGCTCCTTAATTGCTGGCCCGGCATCTTTCCGCACGGTTGGGGTATTTGATTAATTCTGCCGTCCTCATTATGCTCGGTTTGTCATTCCTACCTCGCTCTTCACGTTAGTTAGCCAAGGTTGGACGCACAGAACATGCTATTCAAACACTTGCGGACAGCCAAGCTGGAGATAATATTGTTGACCCATTTTTATTGCTGGATGGGAAGAAATTTGGACCGTTCTGTCCACGGAGCGAGAATTGCTTCCTTGCAGGAGAAAGTTCTTCCACCACGGAATGTGGAAACATACCCCTCGCCGAAACGAGTATTCAGTATGAGTAAGTGATACCACGAGATTCGAACTCGAGTCGAGATTACTTATAGTATCATCGAGCATGGCAACAATTGAATGGGGCTAATGTTATGACATATTGTGTTGTATATGTACCTATTCCAAATGGCCAGTCTCACTGGGAACATTGATTTTATTTCCTCTGGTGGCATGGCAAATACACACTTTTTATCATCTTCACTTCTGTCATATTCTTTTTTATGAATAAGAGCGATCGTCATCGACCTCTTCTTATCTATGGTGCCATCGGGATGAATATCTATCAATATGTCGTCGGCGGTATCTATATCCTATAAAACTACTCCATCTCCGTCCCCGAAGTGTCGACAGAAACACCAACATCATTCCAAGTCACAGATGCATAGGCCCACACGGAAACCCCATTTTCCTATCTCCTAATAACCATCTACATGACCACTCTCGCACCAGTAATAATAATATGGGTCTACGCCGTTCGAAGTCTGGTCCCTAGAGTAGAGACTTGCGCTGCGGGTATTAGTAGTTTAGCTATCGTAGCTAATTGGCTCTTATTAGCCTCTTTATTTTGGCTCTGCGTCTCTCTCTCTCTCTTTCTATACCTTCTGCTTTTCCTTTTCGCAATACTCGAGTATTGCCACTTATAGTATCTATATCATCTTGGGTGTTTTGTGCTTGGCGTCGGCGGTGTTGTTTCATTTTGTTTGCGTATGTGTCTGGAGATGTGTGGGGAAATGATTGGGGAGATTGGAACTCTTTTTTTGGGAATGGGAATGCGAATGGGAACCGGGATGGGAATCGGGGGCCTAGATTTTGGGAGACTAGACACGGTAGGTTGAGGTTGAGGTTGAGGTTGCATGTGAAGATTTGGGCAGTTGTTGATGGGGCGGGAAGGCAGGCTGGGGGGAGGGAACTGTACGAATCATTCGAGTTTGAGATCGATCCGCTTATTGTATTTTTGATTCTGTTGTGCTGATGAGTTTTGTAGTGAAGTTTTATAATAATAATAATAATATTAACTATCCACTCACTCACCCATCTCACTCACTCACTCACTTCTCACTTACTCACATCTCAATAGTAAGTAGTAGAACCGTATTTATATATATATACTCGTATACGTAGTACTGTATTAAACATGTTATTCATCTATTCATTCATCCACTCATCCATCCACTCATCCACTCATCAATTCATTAATTCCAATTCCAATTCCAATTACAATACAAGCCTACTAGTATTACTTTACTTCGCCTCCTTAATTACTTTACCTCCTTAATTACATGACCATCTCCATCTCCATCACCATCACCATCGCTAACTGCTTCAACTACTACTCGTACCGGTACCGGCATGATATGTTTCGTTTGCATATCATACTCATACTCATCTTCATCCTCATCCTCATCTTCTTGTATCAAATCAACCTCTTTTATATGAGTTTGAGTTTGAGGTTGAGTTTGATTTCGAGGTTGAGGTTGAGATTGAGTATGATTTTGATCCTCCAATTTATCCTCGTCGTCTGTAGTGTCAAATGCGAAACTCTCTGGTGCGGGCATATTCCCCAGCATTTCTATTTCCATCTCCATTTCCTCCTTGACCTCCAAATCCTCATCCGCATTCGCATCCCCACCTTCCACCTTCTCCCCTGCTCCCGCCCCCCTAAACATACCCTCCATAATCCTCCTCTCCACCTCCTCCTTCTCCTCACTCATCTCCAATAAACTTCTCCTCTTCCCCATCCCCATGCCCATCCCCATACCCATCCCACGGCTCCCCATCCCACCCCCCTCCACCGGACCCTCCAAAAAACACTCTCTCGGCACGTCCCCCAACCCCCTCCAAACCCCATAATCCTGCACCACCCCCCTCAACCTCCTCCATCCCTCCTCCGGATCCCCTACCAACTCCATCCCCATCACATCAATAAACCCCTGTTTACTCAACATCGGCATATTGGCCCCCAAACTAATCGATCTCCGAATGCGTTCTCCAGCCGTGGGCGACGGGCTTGGCGGCGGGAGATTCGACGAGTGTCGTGTGGAGAGCGTATGCGCAATCTCATGATTTTTGAAGAAAATCCCCAATTCCAGATCCGCGATTTCCTGATTTTGAATCCCGCCTTCGATGAACAATGTTTTTTGCCCTACAGACATATCAATCAGCCCATCACATTCTCACAAAATCGAACAAAACGCTATCTCCAGCGACTCCCAAATATAAATTCTCGGCAAAAAAAAAAACATCACCTACATATATTATCCTCCATCTTCACCCCCTGCATATCCAAAAATGCCGAATACACCTCCGGACTCAACTCGTCCGTATTTTCCACATCCAGATGCAAGAAAATCGTCGTCATCAAATCGTTAAATATCGCATTGTGCGTTCCGTCCGCCTGGAAAAAGGGACTCCATTCCAAAGGCATCGGAGGCGCTATCGACGCATATGGATTGGTGAACGCCTCGAGATCTATCTTGCCCGGTCGCGGGGGTAAATCCGGTCGTAGTTTGGTTATGGGCGAGAAACTCACAGGGTTATTACTGTTACTGTTACTATTACCATATACCTCCTCAGTAGTCATCGGAGGAGGAGGCGGAGAAATGGAAATGAGATCTCCCGAACCGGACCCCGGGCCCCGTTGCGAGGACGACGTGGCTTTCGCAGATTTGGTTTTCGGTTTCACGATATCCCACAGGGCGCCCCAGTTGGCAGTCGGAAGCTCGACTTTTTTCGGCGGCGTACTGCTGCTGGTCATGGTGTTTTTGCGAGGAGGGAGGAGTGGTACCGGACGGGGAGGGACGGGAGGGGGTACCCCCGATGTGCTGGTCCCCGAGGTTTTGTATATCATGGTGGGATGGCTGCTAACGTGTGTGCGGGTTACGTTTTGGATGACGAAACAGTTGGCGCAGAGATTGTAGTCCGTACATATGTGACACTGGATGCGAGCCTTGTCGGGGCGGATCGGCTCTGCACATCCATCGCATCCATATAGAGACATTTTGGTACCGCGGTGCAAATATTGGAGAATATCTGAAGACGGTGGTGTGTGTGCGGATAATGGGAGAAAGAGATACGAAGTATTTCGTGCCAGGGTTTGGTAGGGAGATGCTTTCTTTACATACAGGTGGACGAAGCTTTATTTGGAGGGTCCGGGAGTTGGTGAAGCTCTAGAATCTATCGTGTTCGTGGTTAACCTCGTGGTGAGCAACTCTTGAGACAGTGTTGTTGGTTTCAAAAGCGTCTTGAAAGATGGCAACGCTTTGATGTTGATGATCAGACCGCTGGTGTTGTTCAATTCCTGGAACATCAAAATGAAAGAAAGGAGAGGAAGGGCTGAAAAAGCCGAGGTGATCAACAATCAATAATACTGGAATGGTAGCACCTGCTTCAATTTGAATCGAGTCTCACAACGGAAGGAAAGAATCAAATGTTAATGTTAATGTATTCTAGAACAAAAGATTAAGATTCTTGATCATATAAGGCCAAATCCTTTGTTATGCCACATTCCGTCCCAATTTCAACTCAAGCAATCTTATTTTCCAGCTTCGACTCGCACATACCTTTCTTTAGTGTCCGACTTTAACTCAGACATTCTACATTCCCTCTGTTGTTCTTCGACTGAAACCTCATAAATTCAGACTCTAATCTGACTATCCAATCCCTAGCCTTTCCCCCTATTCCTTGACTACAATGCCTTATCTTGTTCTCGATAGATCGATGTTTATAGGTGAAAACGCGGTAATGGGCTTCATTGTGAAGCTCAACTACCGCCGATATATTTGATATGTAGACTGTTGGCATTCAACCTTGTAATATGTGCTCCGCGTGTGGTGTTGAATAGGAGGTTATCTCGTTGTAGATTGTGTATTCGTGTAAAGATATTTCAAGGCATGAGCTCTCTTTGGTGTTGAATAGGAGGTTGTCTCGTTGTAGGTTGTGTATTCGTGTATAGATATCTCAAGGCATGAGCTCTCTTCCCTCAATAGTATTTTGTTCTCGCTCGTCGACTGATTCTTTCCGGTGCAGCGTGAGAAGGATGAGGGTTTGATAGGTATGACTCTAGTATTGGCTTTGACTGTGATAAACTGTGGTGGTGTTGATTGCTTAAGAATCATCAGTGGCCTCCTTGAGTGAAATCTTACAGCAACATGCTCAATTGATAAGATAATAAAGAAAAAGAAAAACCTACCTTCATACCTCGATGCTGCAGTGAGGTATATTACGTCGAAGCAAAATCTCCCCTGTGCCGAACGATACCTCACGCAGACGGCAGAACCAACCTCTGTGTTGGAGTAGCAATTGGTGGAGGATTGTTTGAAAGGCAGACCCACAGCCCGATAGGAACCACGAAAATGGGGAAGCGGGGACACATATGATCAACAATTCGGAAAGCATTCATTCCACTGTTGAATTGTTCGGATGTGATCCTTTTTTAACCAGACAGACATATGGAAATAATGTTGTCTTGAGTCTTGACTGCTGTTGAGTAAACAAAACATGATTCAGTATTCAGTAATATTGCTCAAATATGGATAAGGTCGCGATTCATGAAACGTAAGATTCTGCAGGAAGCCGAGAAAAGTAAGTCTTATATCTCTTTTGGAAATACATAACCGCTAAACGCTGCAAGAGTGAATAATGGCGCCAAACTACTAACAAAAATATCGAGCCGCGATTACGAGATTTGACCGAGTTACCGGTAATATTTTCTTTCTTAATCATGGTAAGTTACTAGTATAGTAATTAAAGCGTGTTGGCTACAGCCGTAGCGGATACTATACCGAATACCCGTATGCAGTCTTTTGCAATAACTAACGGTGGGAACTAAAAAGCTTATGGAAATTGAATATGGTTTATTCGCCGGCGCTACATTCACTAACTACTGCACCTGCGGATGAAGGCGTTCAAGGCAGAAGGTAGATCCCGTTTATAGTTGTGTTTATAGTGTAGGATAGCGCAAGAATCTTAGAATATGGTTACTGTAATGGAGCTTCAAATATATGAAAGGCTGCACAAAGATTACAGTAACTGACTCGGTTGTGAATGTCTTGTATGTACCGACCGGTACAGATAAGTATAAACTCTCGTCGCCTTAAAGGCTTAAACGGATCTTTGACTTCCAAATTTCAATGGGAATAATAAGTGGATGATGGATGGATGAGGTTACTGTAACCCTAAGGCAGTGAACCAGAAACAAGGTGTGGTGATCATAGGTGAGGTAGAAAGAAGGAAAGAAGTCCTTGAAACCAATCTTTGGCTTAGCAGTCGGTTTCGACTCGAAATACTGTAACCTTATAGCTCTCACGTGATTAGTGTGTATATCTTCTTTACCCCGCCAGTTCGAGAGACCAATCGATATTGTCACGGCCCCGTATTGTATTCTGATAATTTATACTTCTTCTACTGCACTTACTCGAGTATATTTAATATACTCACTCACATCGTCAGCTACTTGATATCTACCACTTTATTATACTTTTATCACGTTAGGAAGTTGAGAGAGATAGCAAATATTGGTTTCATGTGAGATTTTGAAGGAGATCTTAAGTAAGGATACCAATACTGGAGAGTAAAACTACAATACTACTGACATGACCATGACCATGACCATGACATGAGTAGTGATTTTTGGAGCGCATAATAAGATAAGTAATTTCCTCTTTTTTAATTCCCTCGTAGCTTGAGCCTGGTCAACCTTACCTAACAGTTTGTTTCATGTTCAGCGATCCATCGATTGTTTTGATTGACCCCGTCCATAACACAAAATTGTGTCTATGAGACTAGATATGATGAGCTGAACGAATGCCTACAAGTCAAGGGAACATGTGATAAACCGAACTCCCTCAGAAGCTTCAACAATGTGACAGCGGCACATGCGAAAAAATCATCTCACAAAAACGGATTTGCCCGAATGTTCGTTCAACAAATATCCCTTGGCCTAGCTTGGAACTCTCGACGTGATAACACAGACTGAAAATCAATCTGCCATGTGGCATGAGCGTATCTCGATAACGGGTCAAGGGAGAAGAACTTCGAAGTTGCTACAAAATAGATGAAGACTATCTGAGTGAAAAAAAACGGACCAATTCGACTCTTGATAGGCTAGAAAAGGAAATTCCAACCTCCTCAAAGTATCAAGATCACCACCGCGGTCAGGCCCAACCTACGATCTGACAAACATTGCAGGCATGGTGATGATGATAATAATGATGATGAGGGCTGCCATGCAGAAATTTGATGAAGCCATCAGAAGGTCAATATTGACCCAAGCCATGCCATACGACAGCCCGAAAGGTCCCAATATTAATGCCAATATTCACATGCATGCAATCAAAACACAATCTGCACACTGCACAGTGCTGAGTGCACAGTTGGTTGGCTTCCTCGGATCCTTTGATGAGCATTGAAACCTCTGAGTTGTATCTTTCTTCTAGTGGAGAAAGATGAAGCCGTTGCCGAACGATTGGTTATCCGAACGGAAGAGCGACTAATTGGTTTCGTACGATTCATTCATCCCATCTCATACTCCAAGTCTCCTATCTTACTCGGCAACTGCAAGAAAATACCTTATTGCCTATTCTGGTCTTGACCGGGTCTTAACGCATGCGCAAAGATAGCCAATTTGCGAATAATTACCGTGATGCAGAATGTGGTAATCTGATTGGTCTTGTGTTTTGAACTTGTATGAGCAGTATAAACCCCATATTGACGTATCGTGTACTGGTATTGTGCAGTTTTGAGTGGAGAGGGACAGTCGAAAACTTCATTTTGAGCGGTCTGACTTTGAAAGTTTGACCGCTTTTCACCATATTCTATCCATATTTTACACATTTTACTGGGCTGAACCGAATCAACAAAAGGAGGATCTCTTTTTAAGGGTCCTTCGGAAGGATCACTAGCGAAAACGACCAAATTCGCCATAATATGGTATGAGTACAATGACGTAGAGACCCTCAATGGTGGGAGACCAATGCATTGTACCCATAGAGTTATTCTTCCTTCAAACTTCAAAGGTTATTAATTTATTTCTTACTGGTTTCGGTATGCCCAGGGCCGTCCCATGCAAATAAATATGCATAGCATTTCAAGATAGGGTTTATAAGTGTAAATCTGTCCCTCTGTTGGGACCATTTTGAATACTGATTTCCTGAGATCTTCAATCTAATCTTCAATTTCTGGACTGTTCGGGAATTTTTGATAAGGAAACGGACAAATCACCGAATCATGCATGAGAGATGAATGGTATGAAGTGTTTTTGTCTTTGTTGCGTTGTTTGAGTTATCTTGTTCCTCTTTCTGCATTTTTTACCCCTTCATTGTGCGGTGGTGCGCAGTTCCGCGAATAATAGTACGAAGAGAAGCCGGAAAATAAGCGGACCCCTAATCCTCTAGTAGCTGTTCGTATCAAATTAGCTCGCCTAACGTACTAATATAGTGGAGTAAATGATAAGATGGCATCGGTAGTCCTGGTTCATCGTGTCAGGTCCCCTTGTTATTTCCGAATTTTCAAAGAAAAATTGTGCACCGTGTGGATTTTGCTTACAATCAATGACTTATCGTCAGTCGCCGCCCCTTCATTACTTGAGCAGTCGGAAGGGTAACTGGTGGGTTTGTCGCTCATTTTTCTAACTTCATTATAATCCTGTCCAACACTAATGCATTGATAGTATAATAAACTCTTCTTTGCCATTCAAAACAACTACGTGGGTCCTATCTTAAAAGGGTAATGTAATCAAGACATAATACGGCAATGCTATCACTACTTATCTCTACCTATCCTTATATATCAGACATACTCCTTCCTCCCTTCCTTTATCTTTCCCTCTATCCGTCAAGTTTGACTTTACGAACCTTCACCTGATAAAGTGTATGTATTAATTGTGATAAGTCCATATCACAATCACCTCAAAGGTCGATTCATAGTATTAGCCACCACGGGACGAATGACACCTTACAAGATATCATTATTCCACGATTATTCAAGAGGCTTCTTTAAGCTTCACGGACGCCCATTTTGTCAATCTCTGGCTCCAACTTGATCCATCATTTACATTCGATAGCTACAACTTTTTCCGATATACAATATTCGGCTTTAAATACCTGTTTTAGTTATAAGCAGTGAAAAAACCATTCAGAACTCATCCAATACCTCTACAGCAGATACAGCAAACATGGCGGTTCCATTCGGTTTCAGTTTCAACGAGGTCATCAATGGAGTCGGAATTCTGAGAAATGCATTCACAGCAATCAGCGAGTCTGGAAAAGCAAACCCGGTTTTTGGAGATGTCGCACAAGTTCTATCAAGTCTTCACCAGCGCCTTGACGGCACCGAAAGATTTCTGAGTGATCCATCTTTTGGAGCTCAGCGCGGTTTGATGATGCAGGTCATTAGTTCGTGTCAGTATTGCATAGAAAGATTTGTGCACCAGGGCTGCAGGTTGAACGGCATCACCACCAAGGGCTCTTTATGGTCCCGCGAAGAATTCTCCAAAATCATCGAAAAAGTCGATTGGCTAACTTGCAGGAAATGGGATGTGTCACAATTCAGGAAAGAGGTCTCAATCCATGAACATGCTGTTTCGAGTCTGCAATCAACGATGCTTAGTACTCGTGACATGGAGAAGGGACAACTCACTCGCCAAATCAACGAGATCGTTACCACCCAGCACAGAATGGTACGAAGTGTTGGCAAAGCTCCTCCACGTGATGCTTCAACCAGCAATGAGGTCTTGAATGCACTCACGGTCATCAATCCTCAAATCGGCAGAAGGGAGATTGAAGCACGTACTGATCGTCTTTTGAGTAAATCATGTGACTGGATCTCTAACAACAAGAGTTACAAGTCCATGATCGAAAGCGACCAGTCTGATCTACTTTGGATTCATGGACAAGCAGGAAAGGGTAAAACCATGCTTTCAATGCATCTCGTCGACGTCCTTACCAAGCAGGTCGCGCAAACCCCGTGTGATCAAATTGCATACTTCTTCTGCGACAATAACATGATTCAGAGAAATTCGACATTACATGCGCTCAAGACCGTCCTCCACCAGATTTTGAAGCAAAGTTCCCCGAACGTATTACTGGAGGATTTTAAACGTCACGGACCTCAAATGTTTTCCACCATCGAGGGAGTTTGGACTGCTTTGATACGTGTGCTTGAAGCATCCATGGCACGAAATCTTTACCTGATCATTGACGGTCTCGATGAATGTACCGATGAATCTTTGGACATCTTCCTCAAGCTCGCCAGTACACATATTTCATCCAATGTAGATGGTCTCTGCAATGTGAAATGGATCTTCACGAGTCGAAAAGAAACGAGAATCGAAGAATACTTGAATTTATCTTGGGTAGTGGATTTGGAAGAAATCGCCACCGAAGTCAGCAAAGCCGTCGACGCATTCATCACTCACAAAGTTGCTAGTTTGGCTACAAAGAAGAGACTCGATGCGCCATTGAAACAATTTGTGACTGATAAGTTAAGGGAGAAAGCTCAGGGCAATTTCCTTTTCATTTCGCTTGCATGCAAAGAACTCTTGAAAAAGAACGTCTCATTCATCAACATCAAGCTTGTACTTGGCAAATTCCCCTCTGGACTCGATGCATTGTATGCGAGAATTCTCGAGGGAGCTTTGAAGTTGAGCGAAGAAGATCAACAACAAGCCTTTTCAGTTCTTCGTGCTGTGGGGATCGCCTTCAGACCTCTGAGCCTTCGTGAACTTGCCGTCATGGCAGCTTTCCCCGCAGCAGCTATCGATGATGAAGATATCGTGTTGGACGCTGTCGAATTATGTGGATCATTCTTGTCATTACATCGCGACCATCCATACTTTGTACATCGATCCGCAAAGGAATATCTCCTCAACCACGAGACCGCCGGTATATTTTCCTCGGACCTGGAGTTCGAACACGAGAAAGCCGCTTTCAGAGCCCTCAAATACACAACAAGAGACTGGAAATACTATCTGGAAAGTCTGGAAGATGTTCCACTTTCTTCATTGCAAGATCAACCCTCCTCGGAAGACAGTCTTCAATATCCCCTCATCTACTGGATCAATCACAGTAACATAGCCGGATCTCGAATGATGAAATCTTACGCCCTCGACCGCCATTTTTTCCGTCGCAATTGCGATCTACGCCGCACCTGGCTCCTATACTTCAAAAAGCATCGCCACATGACCAATTTCTCCGCCATCCAAAATGTTCATTTCTCAGCCCTCCACATTTCCGCCGTGTGCAACACCTGGTGGGTTGCGGAGATTCTCCTCAAGAACAGTAGCACATACATCGACGTTGAAGATTCATTTGGACTCACTGCTCTTCATTGGGCCGTCCATTGCGGAAATACTTCAGTCGCCAAGATCCTGCTTCAAAAAGGCGCCGATCCTAATAACAAAGGCGGCGCAACCGATTATGAAAACGGTCCTCGAGAAGGCACGCCGCTAGGATTAGCAATCTCCTACAATAACCTTGAAATGTCCAAGCTACTTCTTGCTCACGGCGCAGACATCGATTGTCCGGATCATCATTTCACCACGCCTCTCGTATGGACTATTCGCAAGAACCTACCGAAATCCACCAAATTCCTCTTGCAGAGAGGCGCGGATCCCATACTGAGAGATGAGGAGGGAAAAACTCCGTTACATGATGCGTGTGCGAGGGGTCACGAAAATATTGCCAAGATCTTGTTGAACCATGGGGCGGCGCCCGATGCGAAAGATGATAGCGATGTTAGTCCGGCGGGGGTGGCGTGGAATGGTGGTCATAAGGGGTGTATTAAGTTGTTGGATTCGTATGGGGTTAAGACGCCGGAGGCGGAAATGGAGGAGGGGAGTAAGTGGGGGAAGGAGGGAGATTTGTTGGCTGCGTAGATGAGGGGGTGATGGAGGAGAGGAAATGAGAGGAAGGAGGGAGGGGAGGGGAATGAAAGATTTATGATTTAAGTAGGTATGAGATCAATGATCAATGATCAATTGGATATGGATACAATGGATACAATGGATGGCATGGAATGGAATACAATGGAACATAGGGATTAATAGGATTATGCGAAAGATACCATATAGATTAGATTGTGTCCCGGATTCGGGATTATTATTATATTGACAGGAAGGTTTATATTATGTTATTATTCTATAAGATGTTGATGGTATGAATTTAGTCGAGTGGAATGGAAAATTTATCCATACATAACACACATACATATATACATACATATATTCTTCCAGCCCATCGATTCTTACAAACAAACAAACAATTCATCATTACCATACCACAACTTCCTTCCCCAATCCTCTCTCTCTCTTTTTCTTATTCCCCATCTCACCTCTGACCTCCCATCCCATCCCATCTCATCCCATCTCAAATCAGATTTCACACGAACCTAGATCTCGACTCTCGACTCTCCACTCTCCACTCTCCCTCCACCACATAAAACATAACTCCCTCCTACTTCTCCCACTTTCCTTTACACCCTATCATATACTAACTATCCTATCCTATCCAATCCAATCCAATCCAACCATTTATTTCCATCCACACTGGCACTGCTCCTTGTTATATACTCATACGGTAGTTGTTCTTACATTGGTGTCCTCCTTTTCTTCTCTTCTCTTTATCTTCTTTTATTTATCTATCTCATTTCCCCCATTCATCTCCTTCGATTTCCATCTCTTCAACCTCTTCACCATACAGACCAGATTCTATAATAAGCAAGATAGATAGATAGATAGGCTTCTTTCTTTCTTTCTCTCTCCCTTTCTTATAATCGTTTTTACAACTTTTAATAAAACTAACTAACTAACTAACCCCTACTTTTTTTCTTTCTCTTTCCCACCCTTTCAATTCCCGTCTCCCTCATCATCATCATCTATCCATCATCTCCCTCACTTCCTCCCTCCATCTATCCCCTCACTTCCTTCCTCCCACCCTCCATTTTTCTTCTCCATTCCCCATCTTTCCATTTCTCCACCACGGTCCATCTCTCACTGGTAAATTGTAATCATCTCAATATTGAAATGAACTACAATCTCGATATTTGAAGAACCTCTACGAGTATTTCCCTTCCCTTCCCTTCCTATTCATTACCTGACCATAGGTAACTTATTAATATTCCATTTTTTCATCTGTGAACTTTCTCCTTATCCTCTTCTATTTCCTCTTTCTCTTCCTTTTTTCTATTTCTTATTTTTCCCTATCTCTTCTCTCAAACCCATACTCTTTCTTCCCTTTATCGTCTATAGTACAATTCCAGATATCCATTTACCATCTATCCATCCAAGCATACATCCATCCAGATTCCACAGTATATCAGTATCTCCCACACCATATACGTATCCACATCATCCACCACCCTACCCCAACTTTCCTCTCCTTTTCCTCTCTTCTCCTCTTCCTCTTCTCCTCCTCTTCCTTTACCTCTTCCCCTCTTCACCCTTCCCCAAATGATATTTGCATAGCCACACCATACACAATATATATAATACAAAATCATCAACATTACACTCCACAATGGCATACACATCATATAACTATACCAGACTATACTATACTATACCCTGCCAATTCTCACACTCTTATACTCTCATACTATGTATGACATTCAGTCCACCCAACCTATCTATCCTATCCTATCCTATCCTATCCTATATACAAAAGAATAAGAACCTCTCAGTACCAAAACATGTATATACACATCCTCCCTCATCCATCCTCCCTCCACTCTCATCCATCCACCCTCCATCCTCCACCCTCATTTCCCCCATTCCCATCCCTATACATACCAACCAAAAGACATTATATATTACATACTAAACTATCTATACACTATACACAAAACAAGAAAAAGGATTCCTTCCTCCTCCCTCATTCCCCCCCCTCATTCCTCCTCTCTTCTCCCTCCTCCCTCCTCCGTCATTCCTCCACTCTCCTCCCTCATCCCTCCATTTTCCCCATCCCCATCCCCTTCCCATCCCTCCTTCCATTCCCCCCATCCCCATCCACCATCCACCATCCACCATCCTCTACACACACTCAATACACACTTTATACAGTAACACAAAGCCCCCCCCAAAAAGGATTCCTTCCTTCTTCCTCCTTTCCTTCCTCCTTTCCTTCCTCCTTTCCTTCCTCCTTTCCTTCCTCCTTTCCTTCCTCCTCTTTTCCTCTTTCAAGTTTCAACATAGATTAACCACCTACGAAACACCCGAGAAATACCCACAAAACACAATACAAATAATAAAATAAACATAAATATAAATTACGATATATATATATATCTTCCTTTTCATTTCAACCCAACCCAATACAACCCAAGAAAATACAGAACAAGACAAGACAAGACGCCTACTCAAGTAGATATGTAATAAAATGTTGCTATGCTGTGTATGCTGTGCTGTGCATTCTTTCTTTTTTATATAATGCGCGCTGTATGCTTGCTTGCTTGTTGTATGTATATACATATGTATATATGTATATATGCTTGCTGTATTCAAAGGGTATCATTTCCTATCATTTCCTATCATTTCCATCTCCATCTCCATCTCCATCTTCATTTCCATATCCATATACAAATCCCTCTCATTGCTTATTTTCTTGTCTTCTCTCCTTTTCTTCTCGTCCCTCAATTCCAATTTTTCCTCCTCTTTACAGCATCCCATTCCATCCCATTCCACTCCCCTCTCCTTCTCTTCTCTTCTCTTCTCTTCTCTCCCCTCCTCCAAATCACTCCCCCACCCCTCTCTCCGCAAATCAAACCACAAATCAAACCACAAAACATACATCACAAAACATCACAAAATATTCAGCAAATTCCTCAACCCAGCCTTCGGATGTTCATCCGATTGAATACTACGAGGTATATGCGGATGACTTTGATCTTGATCTTGGACTTGTTCAAGATCTTGGTCGAGATTTGGGTATGGGATTGGACTTGGATTTTCTTGTCGTTTCTCATTCTCGCTTTCGTTCTCGCTTTCGTTCTCGTTCTCGTTATTGTTCTCGTTATTGTTCTCGTTATTGTTTTCGTGGATGCTGATGGGCGTTTCGGGTATCCATTCTTTTTGCGAGGGGTTCCATCGATGGCTGTAGGGAGGGGGAGGGGGGTGTTAGTTACTTGGGGTTTTGGGTTGGGTTTGAGGAAGGGTGGGAAGGGTAGGAAGGATGAGGGAAGATGGATTGAAAGATTCAGAAAGGGCATGATAAGAAGAGGGAATAGGTAAATAGAAAGAAGAAGGGGAAAAAAAACATACCCCTCATGCAACGTCTTCGTTAAAGCCCTCGGACTATACTCATCCGTAAGCACCCTATCAAAACTATACGGCACCAAAGCCGGCACGCCCTCAAACTCCGTCTCTCTCAACGGATAAATATCCCTCGTACGATAACGATGATAATTCTTACAACTCCAGATGCCCGGCTGCGTACTCGGGTTGACCTCGGCCAGGCCCGTAATATCAATAAACAAGCCATTCCTCACATCGATCCAGCGCGCATCAATAACATTCATGCCATCGCCGCGGACCCTCTCCACATGATTCGGATTAATATCCAACAAATACTCGCGCATGATTTCCGATCCATCGTCCGCTCGTCCCGTATAGTTATGCATTGTCATATTCATATTTTCGCCCAGCCACGCCAGCGTCGCAGACGAGACCTGCGTGTCTAAATCCCAATCCCACGGCATGATTTTGCCATTCCACCACCATCCCAATAGTGTGCCGTGCGCAACCCATGTTTCAATGTTGCGTTCGCGGAACGTGGTGAGGTAGGACCGCACGAGGTGTTGTAGCGAATCTTGCTTGACTTCGTAGGTGACGGGGTCTCCTTGGAAATATCGTATGTCGTAGTGTCCTAAGATATCATTTCCTCCCGGCTCGTGAAAGTATTTCGTATCGTCGCGTTTGACGTTGATTTTGTGCGGGGGAAAGGAGGGCTTGAGTTCTTCTATTGGGGCAGCGGCGGGTTCTTCGTTGGGTCGAGGTGCAGCTTGTGCGAATGAGGTGAGGAGATATGTTGTTGCTATTGCGCCTAAAAAGTTTGGGGGCCGCATTTTCGTATTTCGTTTGTGAATTCCTCGTCTACTCCGAGTACTATCGTCTGGTCTGTTTTCCTTCGTCCTTCTAATTTCTTCACACAACTCGCGAATTAGAAAAAGAAAAACACACTAAGAACTTTCTAGAAAATAGCGGGATGTACAAAGTTTCCAATCACTTCAATCGATCTAATTAAGCTAGGGAAGTAAAATGGTAAAAAAGCTAAAAGTAAGGTAACCTTGCTGCTGGATAGAATGGGATGGGAGTCGTTATAGGTAATAAATCAGGAGTATGCTCGTGTGCCTCACTTCCGAGACGGACAATATTGCCAAGTGATATTCAAGCAGCCAAGAGACAACAATCAAGTGATCCTGGCGTCTTTCAAAAAATAATATGAGGCGAAGTAATTTCGAGACGTTGATATATAAAATTCGGGAAAATGATAGGAGCTTGGTATTTGGGATTATGTCAAGCTGTAAGCTGTAAGCTGTAATGTGGATGTTGTGATGCAAGATGATGAAATGCGGCGTAAATGCTTGTCTTTGAGTGAGAGTGATCGAATGAGAGTGAAAATGAGGAAGCGATGGAAGAACAAAAGTCCAAATCAAAACTAAAGATCCAAATCCAAATATCAAGAGAAGAAAAGAACTAGAAGATTGATAGAAGAAGAAGAAGAATTTCTAAGTATTTCCAATGAGTGGGGAAGAAAGGAGTTAGTTTTGTGGAATCTCAATCTGATCATGATCTACTCGAGTAAAAAGGGAAAGGAGATGGAGACTACCGATACAAGTATCTGATCTTAGCATAGGTATAGCTAGCACACATGTAGATGATTAGTATTTCTATTAGATGTTCTTTATATAAAAGTCTACTCAGTAGATATTAAGGTTATTCAAGGGCTTGGCCATTTGCCGGCGCTTACACCAAGGTGTATTTATAAAGACGTCTACTCTGTATATTCTTAGCTGCTTCAGCCACGGACTTATACAGTACAAATACAATTATTGACAAGAACTCATCAATAACCTCATACATTCTCCTAAACATCTCAAAGTTTCATTATATTACTGTACAGCAAGTGTACATATAATATATATCAACATGGGAACACTATCTTAGACGCCGCGTCATCTCAGTATCAATTCGGACAATAGAAATCACGATTTCTAAACGAGGGGTACAAAGTTACGTACCCCGGGGAGGGGATTGTGTTACACAACAGACGCCTCTTTTGTGGCAGGATAGAATGCGAATTGGTCTTTTATTTCACTGTACAGTGTTACTCTATGTAACAGCATATATAGTACTGTGGAAGGCTATGAAACGAAATCTATATTTGATGAATTCTTGAAGATAAGGTTATATAATATCCCCTCTATCCTCCGATTATCATCAAATGAATCATGAGTTAATAAGACGAAAGTGCTTGAGTATGTATTATCAGCTTTCCATTCTCATCCCACTCTACTCATACCATACTACTCTATACCATACCATACCATCCCAAATAATACTACAGCACAATCTCAGTACCTCACATCCTCACATCTACTTCAAATGTATATATACAACTAATAACTCGAGTATATCTACTCAGTAATTACCATATGCATTCAATCCCAGCTAACAAAACAAGATAGGTAATTTAATCTTGCTATAAATTTCAGAGTAATCATACCAGTTGCAGTATATGTAACAAGTATAAACTAATAACATATCTTACAATTGTACTCATATATACAAACAACCCAAACTCACAAATCAAATCAATAACGAACAACTTACCATCTTCGACATATATATAGTTCAAACTTTACTAGCTTATCCTCATATCCTCGTATTCTCATGCTTAAGTTTTTAGACTCCAATTAATTACAGATCCCAAACTCCAACTCCATACCCCCAACTTATATTACATTCCAGATATCGGTTGATATACTAATATACCGGTACTGGTAACACATTACAACACCTATCCAACCTTACCCTACCCTATTATAATATCTATATCATACTCGAGTACTATACCAACTATATATATATATATATATATATATTCCATACCTTGAATTCATGAGTTCTGTTTCAGTTAGCATATTGAGGAAGATTTGTACGAGTACTCGAGTAATATCATTTTGATTGATAATTGGTTATTGATAATTGATAATTGATTGTGTATGATAAATTCAGATTTTTTTGAATAGATCCCAAATCCCATGAATCCAAGTTCTTGTTTGGTTTGTTAGTAGGTGGATTGAAATAAGAGGGGGTGGTAGAGAAAGAAGGAAGATCTTATAATTACTTAGTACTGTACAAAGATTGCAAAGATATCGTAATGGGAGAGTTGAAGAGAAAGAGTACCGACCGGTATTTGAGAATATTGTAAGACTTAGGATGAAATTAGATGATGATAAAGATGTAGATATAGATAGAGTGTGTAATTGGCATGCAAAAGTTTTTGTTGCGTGAAACTTTTGACCTGGGGAGCTTTTGTAATTTTTAAAATCCTAGTTAGTGCATGGAATGTTTAGAAGGAGGTGGCTCGGAGGGTGTTTGTTATTATTATGTTGTGGGGGGAAAGAGGGAGCGGTTGAGATGGGGGAAAGGAGTTTGGGTGGGTGTGTTGATTTTTGTTGACTTGTATGAAATGATGGTTTAGGAGGGGGGGCGGAAGGCCCGGGAAGGGGAATTGACAATATTTAGAGGATTGAAGATTTAAAGATAATGTGAGATCTGCTGAGCTGGAGTCTATTGATGGGATCTTATAGATTGTATTATTGAAGTTTGAAGAAATCGAGAATACAAGTTCCATCATTTCTCTCATCAATCTAAAAATAGCGTATTCCTTTGTCTTGTTCTAAACTCGATTCTCGAATATATATTTTGTTTTCCCTTCTCCGTGCCTCAAGTGTTGACTGACTTGTATCGTTCTAACGAGTGATAGTATTGTATATAGAAAGCACTGCATATCTTGGTCGAAAGATTGTGTGTAGTGTACTTTAGAGTGACATTGTTGTCGCAATGGGCTGTGAAATAGAAGGATAATAGTGTGGATATACCGAACGAAAATGTAATCCATTATAGAAGAATCCCTCGAGCTAATCTCCTTAATCTTACATCTCTTCATACAAAATTCGAGAACCCCACTCGTCTCAAACTCTGCCCTATGACAAGTATCTTCTATACGTCCCAATCACCCATACGCTCATCCATTTTACTCGTAGTCTCTCTCATAAACTCGCTTCCCATACCTGCGAGATCTGGCGTACTATTCGAACTATCCATCTTGTGTCCCCAGACCCATAACAATGGAATAGTTCCTTGCTACTCGTAGTGTCTGCAGGTATCCGTGAGTCAGGGGCAATGAGCCAGATGAACTTCAATGGCGAAAGAGACGGGAAGGACGGCGCAGAGAGTGCGGTATTATATTTGGATGAGATGTATGAAATATCCATGAAGATTACAGCCAAAGAAATCATTGCGGTTGCAATAATAATCCGAGTGATAGGAGGGAAAATCATCTACAGGATTGGGTGGGTAGTCTGTACAGAGGTCCAGAGGTCCAGAGGATTACCCAATCTCCTCTCGAGGTCTCCCCCTTTCGACAGCCACGAATACCGTGTTATGAGCATATTCAAGGACAGATTCTAAGATAAGAGATGAAAAATGAAAAGTCAAGATGTTACCGCGAAAGTGCATAGTATTAGCATAGTACCGTTCCCACATCACCTCTTCCCAATCACATCTTATCGACCTATCAATTTACCTCTACTACTCTTTCTAATCACAATGCGTGCTCCTTTAAGATGTAGCATCGAAGTTTTGAACAATGTGAAAAATCTCGACATACATATAAGAAAGAATAGCGCGGAACAAGAATAAGAACAAGAAGGCCGCATTGATGATTGAAATACCACTGAGCAATAAGTACTGTAGAACCCTCCCGGTCCTTATCATCATATCACGCAATTTGAAAGAGAACAAACTCATACTCCAATGCGCATCAATCACCATCGCTAGGTGGATAATGATACTCTGAGTAATGCTCCTGACAAACTTGCGTTCGTTTGTGTATGAAGTAAAGCCATGGAAATCCAATCAACCTATGCCCATGATACCATAAAAGAATCATCAAAGATCCCAAGACCACCATACCATCAATATCAAAGGAAAGGAAAGAGAGGCAGGAGAATATGCACAGAGAGACAATGGAGATATACGTCCATCTATCCACACTAGTGGCATCAGACTGCCCTGCCCGACTTCGAGAACCCGCAACTGCGGGATTTACGGCGTGGGATAAATTTTCTTTGTTTGGATTTGACTTGTAAGATTTCAGATGGAGGTTGCGCTTCGCCATGAATTATATAAATCAGCCTTGTCTTGCCTTGCTTCATGGTATGCAGTTCTTCCTCTTGCGGCAATAGTGTAGCGGTAACTCAACATTAGATAAAAGAAACAAAATGACCAAAACCACGCCATGATCGTTCACTTTGAGTATATGAGTCAAACAAGACTCGCCAACCTCATGCCGTGCGCTGCAGCGACTCCTATAACGAAAGATTGAAAGTAGTTTTAAGGTTCTTGGTGATGTTATTTACACATTATCTTCCTAGCTAGTACTGATCTATCAGCGCAATAGACATTATACTATACAGTTTTTTGTAGTGACATTGAAAAATGAACATCTTTGTCGTCCGTATTGATTCCCGCATTCCCCGCATTCCCCGCATTCCCCGCAAATAAGAACCCCAAGAGCAAATCCAGCTTTCAATAACCATCATTCGACCATTCCTGCAAGTTTCCTTTAATGTGCATTTCCTTATACAGCCATTATTATGATACAAGGCTCCAGTCTGCAAACGCGGAAACAGCCCTAATAGTTCATCCCCCTATCGAAAATTTGCACACAGAATCGTTCTAGTTGCCGTGGTTATGACAGAGGTGAAGCAATGTTATTTCTCCCCGAAATATAGTGCAAGAAAGACCTTGACGTTGAAAGAAAATCCATGCATATGCTCTCCTTATATACATCCGAATGTTGATTTAAATGGTGACAAAACCAGTTTTGATACCGGACATATGTGAGAGTGAAGATAATGGAAATGGCCCTAGGGTTCAAGAAGCAACTGCTTTGGATCAATTGTAAATTTGTGAGTATCATGTATTCTATAACATTTCACGCCTGTGAGCAGCTCGTAGTCGTTCTGTAACTGCTCGAAATTGGTCTTGAATGTGGCAGTTGTCAAGATCTTCCACTGGATTTTCGGTAAATTCCACACCGAGCCTTTCTTGATGTCCTCTAGTCTTTTTCTCTCGAGATAACCCATATCAACATCTAGGCTATCTCGTTCTTCGCTCTCGCAGAGCAGCCCTTTATATATGTCGCTAAATTGGGTTTCAGCCGCTTCGAACATGAGTAGAGCCTGACCAATCTCAATTGGCTCGAACAATACTAGTTCACTCCTTCTCTGTTCCTGAGTCATTCCATTCTCATAAACGTCGGTTTGGCAATCCTCGATCAAAATGGTTAAACTCTTAACGTTACAGAATAATCTCAATAACATGGGAATGATGAAATTTCCTGGAAACTCAACTTGAAATGACATTCGGATGGCAAGATTTTGCACCTTACATGCCTCAGACCGCGCCATGACGTGACAATCTCCGACATGAGCCACTTCATATTGGATGTAAGTTGCCGAAAGATACAAGACATCTCTTTCGTAATCAAAATAAGTCTCGGCAAAAGCCCCAACAGACGGAAATGCTCTTGTGTAATTTTTGATCGCGACATCATGTGATTCGCGGCAAACCGTCAATAATGGTGGAGGGACCGCTGCTGAAGTGAAACCAAATTGATCATCATCCTCTAAACGTGCCCGAACGGCGTCCAAACTTCCGAGATCCTGTGGAATCATACCGTGGATGCCGGTGCAGATAGTACCATCTGAACCATCGTAATCGTCGTTTTGGCATTTATCTGGTACAACCATATCTGAGCGTACTCTAACCATCGCGTGCTCACAACGAGAAATAGAATGTGCTTCTAGTTGTATAATCCTTGGATCCGGAATTACCATTTTCCATATCAGTAATCGAACTTCCGTTGGGAGTTTGGAAAAGAGAGGAAACGAATCGTAGGTTTTATCTGGTACCATATTATGAGGAGCTACCAGCGTTGATTCATTAGAATCTGCCATAGCCACGATATCGATATTTTGGTGGAAAACCTCCAGGTTTGATTGTGTGTGATAGTTTTGAGGTTGAAGGTAATTTATCTCTTAGCGATGATGTTTTGAAAGATGAAGGGGAAATATCAGATGGTGAGTGGGTGAGGAAGAAACATTGAGGAGAGAAAATACGTCAATATGATTTACCAGTAAAGCGCTAAGATTGAGGGCACGTGATTAATCGTCATATCTGCTTACCTAAGGTCACTCATTTAAGGTTATTGGTATTCACACCACCTCACTTCATCACAAGCTCATGCTCAAACTTGTCATTGTATCGGTGGCCCATCTCAAGTAATCACCTTTTGATCGATATCACATTTCATCGTTTGACGATTATGAGAGTACTATGGCAACGATGGCGACAATGGATGGCAGGGAGATTCAAAACTATGCCAAGTTCTTCCCTCTTTCATCCCTCTCATATTCGCCATACAACGTTTGCATCCTTCTCTTCCATACTCGAGTATATTACTATCAAAAGCACTAGGGAAATCATTGTTTCCCTTTTCCCCCTAAACACAACTTCTCTGATAGCTTTGATTCTTACTGAGTTTTGAAGTATTTACATCTTCCATTATCTCACCTTCCACGATCAACACATTTTGCTTCTACCAAGCTTGTCATTGCTAATGAATATCGTCTCGCTCTCACATCTCATGCTTTCGAGACCTTTCATCAGCATTATGAAAGTGATGTTATCGGGATAGTTCCTAATGAGGGTATTGTCATCAGTGCGGATGCGTTGACCAAGATATTTACGGGTAAATTCCCAGGAGGCAGATTTTATCAAATGGAGGTTATCAACGGAGAGTCCAATCTAAACACCACCAGAGATTGTCGAGAACATGCGCCTGTAAGTCGTTTTGATATCTGTATTAACCGCACAACTTCATGAGGAGAATGAACGGGCACTCCATACTGACGAAACTTTGATAGTGAACAAAGATTTGGCGAGTACTTTCAGAAAACTCGCGAAACTCGCGCCAGGTACTCTCTCTTCATCCTCAAAAGAACGCATCAACTGGTGCATCTCCCTTGGTACTATTATGATAACTCTAACTCAACAAAAACGGAATTCCATCATCCATTCACTTTTGTACAATAGTTCATTTGAAGTTCTCCAACAAGAAAGGCTTTTTTTAAGTTCTTTATATCATATTTACTCTTCCCTAATGACTTCTCCTGCAGACTTTGCTATTGCTCTGTTTGGCTTTATTGAGAATTATTCAATGAGTTTAAGAATAAATCTATCACAAGTTACCGGAAACGAATATTATAACCACTGCCGCAAAGATGGTGATATAAGCGTTGATATATACATCCGCCCTCAGCCAAAATATCTAGGGAAACAAAGTTCAAGTGGCAGAAGTGCTACTAAGACTGGGTTGGATTTCTGCTGCTTTGACATTTTGACTCTTGAGTAAGAGAAGAGACTTTGGTAAAGAGGTGACCAGGATGAGATCATCAGGGTAAAATCGTTGAATGAGCGAGAATAGTGTTCACGTCTCAAACAAGTGCTTTGGATGATACTCACCACTCTTTTCTTCTCTACATTTAGTCACGCTATCTCGAAGTCTTTAATCGGTATGTCAAATGATTGAGAACGAGTCGGAATACATTATGGTTCAATATGTATTGGTTTGGGTTGTGATGAGAATGTTTTCTGAGTAGGTAATTGTTCTTATGAAAAATGTACTCGATCAGGGTGGGTGAGGGGCAGATTAGATGAGAGATGCGAGTTGGAGATAGTTGATTGGAAACAATGCCTATGAACGAAACCTACGGTTGATTGGAGGTGACCAACATAAAGGATAGAGCTTTCACCGTTTTAGGTTGGAGTTTCTATTTCGGAGAGTGCATGGTTAGTTCATCCGTTTCTATTGTATCTTTTGAGGGGAATGGGAAAAGGGGGGAGATTCGGATGAGAGTTCGGATGAGAGTTCGGGGATAATGACCCACTTGCAAGTGCCGTGAATATTCCTATCATACCGCTTTGTGTACGAGTACCAGGCTTGGGTTTGGGGACGAGATGAGCTTGGTGGGATGTATTTCTTTCAGACTGATATATCCAATCAGGAATGAGTAGTTTAGTTACGCGGCACTTTTAGCTACACAAGGCCATCCTTATTTCTTTCTTTGTGATTGATGAAAGCGTATCTATAAATATCACTTGGTGGAAACAAAGATATATTCCAACCACTCACCACTCACTACTCACTACTCGCTCATGCCGATCTCATCAAATCACATCACATTCATGTATCAAAAGTAATATCAATTAAAGTTTGCAGTATATATATTATTACATTGTCATATTCCATGGACTTATTTTTCTTTGCGCCAAACACTCTACATCACCAGGACATAGCAGTATTAACGACTTACCTTATTTAACCATGTGAACATTAAATTAAAAAGAAATCTACTCCCAACCAGAACTAACCAGACCAGTATCAATGACTTACCTTACTTATCTAACCATGTGAAAATCAAATAAAAAAAGAAATCTACTCCCAATTAGAACCAGAATCAGAACCAGAGATAGAACCAGAGTCAGAAACCACCCACAAATTCTCACGAACCTGAGTGAACAATTCCGAGGACCAAACATTTATTGTCGATGCTTCTTCTTCTTCTTCTTCAAGCACAACCGCATCCGAATTTTCACAGAGAGGGTCTAACGGTGACTTCTGCGACGGCGATGCAATCATGACTTGATCTGAAACTCGAGAGTCCTCTCTCGAAGACTGTGGCGACAAGGTTTGATTCCTCAATCCTGCATCAATACCAGCATTCACACAATCCCCACAATTACACCAATCATCTTCGCCCAACGCCGCATGCCATGTCTCCATGCAAGAAGGACACAGACACCACAAATCGAAATCATGCGCCTCCAACTGCGAAGTACCAGTAGCTTGCCACTCCCGATACCGATCACAGCGGTGGCACCAACAAGTGTGAGTTGCGGTGTCGTGGAACCAGTGTGGTTCGAGAATGAAGACGGAGGGTTCCTGCGTGTCGCAGGAGAATACGTGGCTGGGGTGGAACGAGGGGGTTGTGAGGTAGTCGGTTGCCAGCGAGGAAATGTCCATGCTTTCGAAGTTGGGGAGGGCGTTGGGCTCGGATTCGCAGTCCATGGTTTCGAAACCGCTGGATTGCGAGATGGTGGAGGGGTCGAGGATGGCGAGGATGTCGGGTTGGGGTGGGGCTGCTGAGAGGGTGAATGGAGCTGGAGCTGAGAAAGAAGAAGTCTGTGGATTTTCTTCGAGGGGAGTTCTTGGTGAGGAGTCTTGGCAATTGCTTAAAGAGTTGGTGATTTCGTTATCGTTTGCTTGACTGTGTTGATAATGTTGTCGTTCCTCGAGCTCTTCTTCTCGTTGGCGTTCTTCCTCGAGCCGGCTGATTCGTGCATTGATTTGCGCAAGAGCTGCTTCGAAATCCAATGAGGGGAGGGAAAACACAAAGTGAATTGGTGCTTCTACTTCTCCTTGTTCTTTGATTTGCTGGATTCGTGCATCGACTTGCGCAAGCGCAGCTTCGATATCCAATGAAGGGCGGGGAAACTCAAAGTGAGTTGGTGCTTCTCCTTGTGCTTCAATTTGCTGGATTCGGCGAGTGAGATGATGGAGTTTTTTGTCCATGGTTGCATCTTCCTCATCGGAATCGGAACCTTCGTCTTCTGCATCATACATGTCGTCCTGTGGAGTCAATTCTTCTTCTTTATCTTCTTTCGGAGCTTCGAGAATGAACTCGTCGTTTTCGTTAAGAGGTAGATGTGGAAAAGCCCAAGCAGAAAGCGCAGCCATGTCATCGAAGTCCATTCCGGGGAAATCCCAGGATGTCATCGTTGGATTTTGGATTTGGTTGGTTGGTTTGGTTGCGTGTGTGTGTTTTATGTGTGTGATTCGGATGTTTTCCCTTTTACAGTCAAACTCTTACAAAACGATGAAATGAGTACAAATAGAAGTCTAGCTTACTATATATTTTTATCTTCTTGATATGGGTCTGAATGTATGTGAGAGAACACCGGATGGGGACGTGAAAAGCTTTTTTTTTCCACTTGAAAATCACGCTGCATTTATACCGTGTCACAAGCATTTGTTCGGATTTTCATGGACAGTAAACGAATGTCACTACACTTTACTTGGCGATTATTCTATCCCGCTGTCCTGCCACTAATATCCTGTTTTTTTCTAAAGGATGGGCTACACAGAAGAAAGAAACTTGGGGAAAAGGCATGGAAGAAAGAAAAAAGGATCTCAAAGAATTTGGACAATCAACTCGATATATACAAAGGAATTTCTTCTGGTGCTTTGTTCCTTCTCAGGGAACAATGAAAGAGAAAAGGTTTGAAAACAATGCTCTTGTTGATCTTGTTCATTCATCTACTATAAAGAAACGCGCATTCTTTGTTGCGCAAGAGAATACATATAGATCATTCGGCACAGCTGTTGAACAATCCTATTCTTCTTTCCTTACGTATATTATTTCACAACGACAGAACAACTGAACATCAACGAGTAAGTAACCTTGGTCATCATATAGTTTTATACCGATACATACTACCAAGAGACATTTCATTTATACAAATCAGAAGTAATATCCATAGCGCTGGTCGCATAGTCAATTAGACACTCTCATACAAGAAATTAAGAGACAAACTAGAAAAGAAAGGAAGAAAACAAGATGGCGAAAAACGGAAAGGGTAAGAAAAATAATTCTAATGGTGGAGCTAATAATGGCGGTTCTAGTCCCAAACAAAATAACAACGGAGGCAATAACAAAGGCAATAACGGAGGCAACAAAAACCGCAAAGGAAGCAATGATGGCAACGGAGGAAATCAAGAAAAAGGTAAAGTACCCGAGCACCTCATCGATTGCCGTATCTGCAACCGAAAATACCATTGGGAATCCAATTGTCGAGAGAATCCCTTGGGGATAGGAAAGAGAAACAAAGAATCGCTTGATTGTCGTGTTTGTAATGGGAACCATTGGGAAGATCAGTGTCGGACTTTGAAGGGGGAGAATGGTGGGAATAGCAATAACAACGGAGGAAAAGGAGGAAGCTCCAACTCTGGAAAATGTCTAGCCCCCAATGGAGAAGACATCTCGGCACATTTACCTAATGGGAAATTCCCCAGTCGTCCATGTAGCAAATTTAAGGTTGCTGCACATTGGAATATTGCTTGTGAGAAGGATGGGTTTGATCCTGTCAAGAACCCGAATCCTGGTGGGAAGAAAAATGATAATGAGAAGATGGGTGTTCGCTTTCCAGATGACGAGTCAAGTGGACCAATCGGTTCTGCCTACAATGAATATCACAGCGATCAAGATGGCATGGGGGATAACCCAGCGGATACTTATAAGCCTCTGCCTGATACTCGGTATGGGTGGGAAAATGGACTACCATTTGGAGGAACGCAGGGACAACAGGGACAGTCCCCAAAACACTCCCCACAACTCCCCCCCGTAAATTTCATTCCCAGACAAAAGCAAACCCAAGACGATCCCAACCCTAAGGGCACACCTTACAGCCCCTACAACCCCAACGGCCAAACCAACAGTCACCAACCCGATTACATGCCAAACAGCGCCCGAAGATCCTACCTAACCCAACCTGCGACTGCCAACACCGAACATCCCGAACATCCCGACTCGGACGTAGACCGCGCGCAATGGCGATCGCACAACTGCGGCACCTGCAAAGAACTCGGACACAAAACCAACGACTGCGCCACCCATCTCTGGCTTCTACCCACCAAGCATCCCAACTGGCGTCCTCATTCCGACCTCCATCATCCATCTAACGCCGTGTATCCGCGTCCCAACGGCTACTGGAAAGGAAACCCCATGCGGGTACCGAGTAAAAATACATATATATGGCCGCATCCGCAAAACACGCATCAGGGGCGTTATTGGGGGGAGAATGATGTGGAGTTGGGTGGGGTCAAGGATGTGTGGATCGACCAGGATGATAGTGAGGGGGATAGACAGCTGAGGTGGGGGATGCCTCCGGGTGGATGTGGAGGGGTGGAAAATGGGAACTTGTGTCAGTTTGATGTGGATGGCGATTTGGTTATGGTTGATATTTTGGATTTGGAGTGGAGGAGGTGGCAGTCGAAAGAGAAGAAATTGATAAAGGAGCAGGCGAAGAAACCGTGGTGGCTGGGAGGCCCGATGGATTTTTGATTGGGTCAGGGCGATGGCAGGTAAGTTGATGGTAAGTTGAGTTGAGGCTGGTTCTTGACTATTTCCTTGGGTACTTTCATCGTACCGGCACCTTTCATTTTTTCCCTTTCTTCTGTTTATATAGCGTGGCGTTTGAGGGTTTAAAAGGTAAGCATCTTTCTCCTTAGAGGTAAAAAATCACCTGTATTTAATTAATTTTTTCTCAAAACATAACAAACGTACTCCTGAATGATCGCGAAAACTCTCATTGTCTAACCATAATCAAACCATCCTTTCCTATAATACATTATTCTTCATCCAAACATAACAAACATAACGAATTATTGCTAAAACATCACGGAAACTCTCAGTGTTTGTCCATAATCCGTACTGCAATTTCCCCTTCCAAGCCATATCGAAATCGACTTTCCCCTGCCCAAACTTTTACTTCAAGCTAGTTGAGAGCTCCGCATCCTAATATCACACCAAAACCCAAAGATATAAATAACATATATAAAATATATAAGTATATACAACCAACTCACTCACTCTTTCCCCATTCATCCAAACCACTAGATTTTGATTAACCCTTCACTTCAGCTCTTAAAACAATTCTGATGCTTTTGATCAGCCAGATGAATACGTATACCTAATACGTATGAGTCGGTACCTGCATTTGAATACCTGTGTATGTATACAGGTATGCGTGTATATTTTCTTGTCTCGTGACACTTGTCCGAAGAAAGATGATCAGATGATCAGATAATCAGATGATCAGACTACTCGTATGGATATCAATCTAGATCTAGCTTCTCATCAAATCCCATCTCATCCCTCAAACAACCATCCCATCTCGAGAAAACAAGAATAGATTCTCATGTAAGTAACCTCATTCAATGAGGTTATTTTCAATGAGGTTACTTTGAGAATGAAAGAAATTTGAAATCAAGGCAGATGTCCGTGCGTTGTGGTATGTGGTGTGGTGTGTGGTGAAACATGAACCAGGGTATCAAGATGATTGTGCAGTGGCGTATTTGTGGCTTAGATGTGGGCTTTTGTGAGCGATCTTGGTGGCTGAAAAATTTGGTGATGGTGTAGGTAAGTGTTGTTGCTTTAGTTGATGAAGGAGGAGGGAGGTGGGTAAAGAGCGACTGACTGATTGAAGAGAATGTGCAATTTCGAGTAGAAATTCGAGTAGATGGTGGTTTGGATGGAGCTGGTGGGAGTTTTTTGGGGGGGGGGGGAAATGGGATACCGGTAGTTTGGAATAAATGTGACTAAAAGTTGCGCGGCAATTTACCAATTTCTTTTGCATGTACTCAAAGAATTATCCATATATTGTTCCAATGATTCTTCACCTGTCCTTTTGTAAACCATTCTTTCTTTCCAGTTTAAGCTAAAAACTAATAGGGGTAAAGATATGTATTATTCCAATGATTCTTCACTCATCTTCCTCTCAGCAATCGACGACGAATTCTTAGGGTTACTACAAATGATGCTTTTTCCCCATCCATCGCCATAATGCAACTACCACATCTAAACCCCATTGTTGTCCAGCCAACACGACTCTCGATCTCTCAAAAGAAAATTCACACAATGTACATCCGCCTTCCCAAACACCGCATTCCCGTGTATAAATGCTTTTTCCCATCCCAATCCAACCCATATAACCATCATCGTATACGAACGTATTGAAGCCCCAACACCAAGCAACGAAGCCCATCCCATCCCAACACCAAGCTGCACAACACCCTTAAAGCAAACTCAGGTCAACCGAATAATAACACCCCAAGCAATACAAAACTCCACAACTCCTCCCCACCCCAAAACATCTCATCCCAATGATCAATGCCTCGCCTGTGTAACAGTAGTAGCACTACTACGCGTAAAAGAACGATGTCGACGGAATTCCAAAGGAGCATGTGCGATACCACCACATGCGAGTCCATCGACATTGATAACGACATCGGTCTCAGTATCAGCATTTTCATTATTTCTGTGCGCGGCTCGGTGCGCGGCTTCCATTTGTTTGCGCGTGTGTTCGTGCATGCTTTTGGAGTAGTTGGATAGGATGGAGGAGATGTCGGGGGGGTTGTCGGAGGTTTGGTGCGATGGTATGGTGTGTGTGGATGGGGGTGTGGATGTGGATGCGGATGTGGATGGGTATGTGGGGGTTGAGATTGCCATTTTGTGTGGTGGTTGAGGTGGTGTTTAGAGGTTGGAGGTCTGGAAATTTGGAGATTTGGAGTTTGGAGATAGAAGTCGGAAGGGTGATTGGAAATTTGGAGGTGACAAGTTCGAAGATTGAGCGGTGGAAGTTGAGTCTCGAGAGTGTAAAATTGATATTGAATGTTTGGCGTGGTGTGTTGTTTTGATTTGATGCTTTAAAAGAGAGATGATTGATGTTGAATGTTTGAATGATAGGGAAAGTAAATAAAGTGAGGTTTCAACCAAATATATACATTCTATTTACTATCCACACTAGGTCATTAAGAAGACTACCTAATATAGCTCTACATGGTGTCTTACCACCCCCTGCAGAGTATGACATACGACCATCGTCATATATGGATCGGAAGAATTAGCCACTTTTTAGCTTACAATGTTACTCGAGTATTTATTGAAACAAAGTGCAGGTAGGCACGGTACATTGAACTTGATATACTATCTACAGACGACTTGACTCGGCTTGAGATATGATTACTCAAGTGGTACAATCAAAAGGCGTTGTCTATCACATCGACACGTTTGACCGAGCTATCACAGCATTTACAAGAATGGAACCGTTCAACTAGGTAGCCATCTCTTCTCGTTTTGTTATAACTTATACTACTGTAGTCTGGACCTTGTTGACGATATCTTGCAGTAATCAAATTATCCTTACCCCAGACTTTTGAGATTAGTGAGATATTGACAGATATGTGTTATTATGGTGAGATCATTACCACGTTGGTTAAGTTAAGTGGATCAGATCATTGATCATTCCAATTATAATCAGAAAGCTAGACCACAAAAATGAAAAGAGTTCAAGAGCAACTCGGTAGATGACAAGATTAATGGATTGTATGTGAAACCGATGTTCATATTATATCCCGAATGCAGTTTTCTCGGAGCCACAATAATATTAACTGCCAGCAATGAACTTGAATGAAGTCATAGACGCACCACACTTTATACTCGTTAATTCAACCAATTAAATCTGTTTTATTTTATTCCTGGGTGTGGGTACCGGTACTGTAACCTGCTGATGTCATCAACTAGCTTATGTGGTCGCACCCGCCGATCATCACATCATCAACATCAACAATTCATCAAAACACAAATTTATCAGTTTTTTTTAACTCAAGCCTCAATTTTTCAATACCTCAATGGCTTTGATCTTACAATGGAAAATCTCTACTTTTATCAATTTTGCTAAGGAGGATCGTCAATTATCAAAAGGATATACATATGCATCTGCAGGAGAAGACGTAATACCGGTATTACAATACAGGAGTTCCCCAACAAACGAGAGCAAGTTCACGGAAGAGACGAAGGATACAATTTCAATCTACCCATCTACCCATCTACCCATCTACCCATCTACTCATCTACTCATCTATCCATCTACCCATCTACTCATCTACCCATCTACCCATCTACTCATCTACCCGTACAATTTCATTCAGACAACGATTCAATGCCCAAATATCGGAACGATTCTCTATTTAAACAACGATTAAAGAGTCGTTAAACCGTGAACTTGAACGTCAAACCATCGGTATACCGGTACATCTAAATTATTGATGAAAGTGTAGAGAATCGGATTGGAATGCAAATATAGGACTACTCCTAAATGGCCACCGGTAAACCGACCATACTTTAGCTTGAAGACCCGTTACCTATATCTCACTAGTCAAAGGTCGTCATTCTCTGGTCAAACACATTCTCGAGAACTTGATACCTCTTTTTCGGTTTGAATTTTCCCATGTTTCCATGTTTCCAAGAAGGATCTTGCATTGGTTGATCTGTTACAACTTACAACGAATATTTATGGGATGAATTCATCCAGGCCCCTGGTCCAGGCAACTATGATGTACATTCATTCAGTACTTGATACCTTGTCCCTCGCCTGCGTTGATTTATTCCCAGAAATATCTCTTTTATTGTTCATTGTTGCATTTCCTCCCCAAAATTGTATACTCAACGAGTCAACGGTTCTTTCTATGGCATCACTTTCATATTCATAGCATTTCATTACCAGTACTTCAATGTTCTTCTCATTTAGCGTCATGTTCGCCATAGCACAAACATACTTTTTTTCACGAGGCAACTTATGTGGTCACGCCGAATCATTGATCCACACTTTTGTGGTCTGCTTTTATGCTTTCAAGTTTGCATCCACTAATTATCACGCCGTTAAATTTCAAAATCTATCCGAGAACTTTGATTCAGTTTGAACCATCTACCAGCGAAGTTAATATTCTCAATGCTCCTAGATTGCTCTCCAACGAGTGATGGGATACAAGGGACGGGATAGGTTCGTCTAAGCCTCAGTGGCAAACGATGTCATAGAGATCTCGATTTTTGATGTACACATTACTTCTGCCTCACATCTCAAGTTACATGGACTTCCAATTTCCAATTTTATGAGGAATGGATTTAAACGACATACATCATACATGATGCTTCTTGTTCATATCAAGTTTATCAAATCAAAGCATAGTAGCATATTGACAGTTAGTCGCCCACATCAGCTGCAGCTCATATGTCATTTTTTATTTACCTTGCAGCTCTGGCAATTTGCAATATATAGTAATACAGCTTATCATCTTGATTCATCACATCACCACCGTCAATAGATCATCCTCTTGCTATGACGAACCTGTCACCTGCGAGCTGATGACATAGAAGCAAGCATACAAGTCACCACAAGTAGTTCAAAACAAGATAATCATAAATTAGTGACGAGTATTCTCGACCTGTCTTGCCTTGAGGGAGTTGAGGCTGGCAAATTGCAATTCAACATAACGATCTAGCTTCAAGGTAGGCAGTAGACTGCTAGCCACATATTCACAGACCAGGAATGTGCGTTGATAACTTGATATCCCCATTCATTGATTGATTCATGAACGTACCAGCGTTTACAACTCACAACTTACAACTTACAACTTACAAGAACCGTACTGACCCCCACCTCCACCTGTATATACATGATAGATTCATGGAATTCCTTGTGACGTACATAAATAATAAGTCGAGAGAGAACAACTTGGAACCTTCCCATTTTGGTTTCATAATCATGTGACCGATCCACCTTGCAAGTTGTGACAACCAAGTCTAGTCCAGTCCACTGGCAGTCCACTGTTGGTAGGTGATTTACTTGTAAATTGTATTCGAGTAGATTGTATTTACATCCGGTAAAAGTTTAAAACTTAATATAATACAATTATACTCGTGTATAAGTGTTCTTTGAAGTTTAATAAGTAATTAAATATTGATATTATTGTTTTTATCCTCGAGTATATTTATATATCGTACTAGTATTATAATTAGTAATTAGTAATTTTGATATTTTATATATACTCTATTCTAATAATATAAGTTTATTATTTCTTTTTTAGATTATTCTTTTTTAGATTATTCTTTTTTAGATTATTCTTTTTTTGAACTATCTTTTTATAGTCAACTACTCTACTTTCGGGCCATCTCCTCTTTCGGGCCACTCTTTCGCACCAAAAACAGTG